GGGATCGCCACCGGTAGGTGGAGCTGCCACGTCAGGTGCCGCGGGCTCGTCACTGCGCCCCTGCATCCCCCTGCATCCCCCTGCCCGGCCCCCCTCCGCAGAATAAGCTGTTTTCTCCTCTATGTTGGGTACCACAGAGTGACTGAGAACAGGAAGCGGAGGCAGAAGCAGAGAGGATTCTGGAAAGGTCTCTGTGTTTTCCACCGAGAATACAGAAATTACGATCAATTAGTAAGGCTTTGTGGATGGAAATCTGGACTGTTTCAGGAGGAGACACATATTACATTAATTTTGGATGCTGGGCTTTGCAGTGATTTTTCATTCTCTTTCAATCAGGTAAGCTGGCAAAACATTTAATTTTACCTATCATCAGTCATGGCAACATGATCTTTTCCACATTTTGGAACTGGATTTTTCCCTCTGGTTTGCTGTTAAGGTAGAATCAAAGATGGAACGGGGAATTCAAAGCCATTTTGTACTGACTAGATTGTGATGATGGTGTGATTTTTTTTTTTTTTTCTTTTTAACCCCGTTAAATCCGATATCTGGTCTCTTACTCTGAATGTGATGTTGTAACGCAGTAGTCTTCCTCACAAAATCAGATAATTTTATAATCATGATATACAGCATTAATTCCAAGCATTTTATAGAAGTGACCTTGTTTCCTAGGAAGAAAAATCTGGTGATATTCAGACTCGGGAAGAGAAGGTCTCATAAGATTCTGAGCATCTCAGATTCTGATGATTCAGGGATAAAATCTACATTGTTTTTACTGCTGTTTATGTGGCATTTGAAGAAACTGCCTTATTAGCTAAATCTTGTAAAAATACATAGGGACATATTTTCATTCTGTGCCATTTTTTGCATGGTTGTGTGTAGGAGAGAATGGACTCACCAACTGTTAATTAACCAGAGGTCCACACCAAATGTATAGTTCACATTTTGTCTGTAACGTTAGTATCAAGCTTAATATATGCTTCTTAATAGGAATGTTTGAAGATATCAACACAAGAATTACTATATTTCTTCATTTCATTGTCCATTCATCTATTGTCTTATTCATTGTTATCATAATAATTAAAGCTGTCAGTTATTAAAGGTGAAAGGAAAATATCTACTGAAGACCACTTGAATACGTGAATTCTTTTTTTCACTAGTGGTTCTACAGATACACATAGACATTAGAGATACGTATGTTATGTTAGTATTGATTTGGAAATTATTCCAAAAGAAAGCACTAGGGGAAAAAAAAGCCAAAAAAAGCCCATACAGCAGAATAAGGAGCCCACAGTTTACACATCACCACCTCAATCCATATATATATATATAGAAAAAAAGCAGGATTGGCTCTCAGGTGTTATTCGGAGAAGCAAGCAAGGCCTGTACCTGAGGCAGTGATGTGAAAGAAAGAAGTTTTTAATTTGTATTCTTTATGGTGCCTGGGGTATCCTTGTTTAACTCCAAGATAAAGAATCACTAATAAAGATGCTTGTTTTAGAAACGTATCATGTTTGCGTTTTCATAACTGACTTGTAAGATAACAGTTTCAAAAGGGACTTTTAAACTCTAACAGTTTAATATTTAATGTTTTCTCTCTTGCACATCTCCATTTTGGGATGGAAGGTTTCTAAAGACAGGAATGTGAGCTGCTGCAGTAATTTGAAGCCTCGTAGCACCTGTTAAACAGATATGTTGTTTATTAGGCCGTGATATTTACAGAAATTATGCTTGTGTCGTCAGTTTACAATTTTTCCCTCAATGAGCAGATGTTAGATCCCTATACTGATTTTCTGAGCTGTGCCAATAAAGCTCAGTATTGCAAAGTTCTGTATAGGTAAATACTAGATGTTAGCAAAGCAAGACAATTTTACATTTTCAATGAAGAACATGAAACAACTTCCCTGTGCCCTCTGAGAGTGTCAGAGTGGTAATTTGGTCATTTCCCCTTATTATCAGCTTACCTGGAGTGGGAATTATCAAGGGAAAGAAGAAAGCATAAAAAGTAGGGTGTGTTTAATCAATATGCTGGTGATACCTTTTATGCTTTCATCTCTTTTTCTTCACAGATGGCATTAGATGAGTTAACTTTTACATTATGAAGATTAGGCATGGAGAGAAATTTATTTGCCATCAAAAGAGCAAGGATTTTTTAAGAAAAAAAAAGGATAGTGGGATGTAAGATGGAACTTTCTGGCTGATGATATCCATTTCCTTCTGCTGCTCCCATTTCAGCCCAGTATAATTTGTTGTGTGTATGCTATATACTAATGACATTACTGCAGCCCCACAACTTTTGATGAATCATTGAACAGCAGATACTAAAAGAGATCTATGTACCAGGCAATCAGGTTGTGACCTTGTTCTCTGAAGTACTGATCTTGGCCCCTTTTATCTATATGCTCTTCTTGCCATAAGATGACAAAGGAAAAGAATTGCTTGAACTCTGCTTCAGTTAAACCTAAGGAGAATAAATGCAAGTTTGTGATATATGGTACTTTATTTGTGTGTTTTCTGAATTCTGACAATGATTATTGTAAATAAGTTTCAGAAAGTGGCATTTACTCTGTTCTTTATCACAAAATTCTATTTAGAAGTTAGAAATTTAATTTACGAAATTCTAGTTAGCTTATTTTTCACTCAGTATAACTCTTCTGTTTTGTTTTTTTACCTTGCAGCTGTTAAACAGTAAGATATACTGTTGCCATTTGCAAGAAATACTGTTTTTTTCATCCTTACCTGAATAAATGAATGGTTTAAAGCATCACAGTAAAACTGATACCCACTAGTTCAGGCTGCTTACAGAACACATGTATGTCCTCTAAGCTGTGGTATCAATCAGTCCATCAAATCAACTGCCAACCACCATAAAAATCACCTGTAGGAAAAAGGCATCCTCTTAACTGGAAACCTGATATTATTCATTACATCTCCTTACATTCACTATTCCTGACTAAAAGCTGTGAAGCACCTTGTAATGGCATGTCTGAGTCTGATACTGACCAATAGGACCTTGATACTGGAGCTGGCATCATACAACCTGTTCATCTGCTTTCATCAAAATTTTCTTTATGAACAGCTGGAATCCCCAGTATATTACTGTGATAGTGTTATTGCTTGACTTTCCTTGCCTTATGATGAGGTAAAGCAGAGGGAATAGGGATAAGAGCAGCTCAGGCAGGGACTGTGATACTTGAAAATATAAATATAGATTATGTACAGCATATGCTCTTGAGTAACCATGTAAGTAAGTGTGTACTACCACTGTAATCCTAAACAGGAGTAAGCGAGTTAAATTCTACATCACAAAAGTATCCAGTTTCTCATTTTTTCGTTACACAACCCCCGATTATTTCTTCACAGTACAAACAAACAAACAAACACAATAAACCAACAACAGCAAAAAAAAAAACAACCCTAAGATCCAGATCTCAAACAAAAAGTACCAGATAATCCACCCCAAAATGGTGATTTCAAATTGTTACTAAATTTTAATGTGGTCCCCAGTCTTGGTAACATCTTATTATGAAAAATTACTGTTCATTTACTCTATCAATTAAGACAGATCACAGAATATGTTTTACAGTGAAAAATGCAACTAAAAAAGTTAATATTTAATTAAAGAGATGAGGATTTTTCACATGTATAAGCTTAAGGAAAGTGTTAATCAGATTAAATATTTGTCTAGTTAATAATTTTTATTGCTATTGATCTTATGACTGAGTAGTTTTACTTAGGTAATCACAGAGCTACCATGTGCACAGGTCCCTTGTTCAACCTGGAATTGTTTTTCCTATTACTTCTCTGGGTCAGCCTTCTGGATGTCATATACCCTTACCGAATGGTCATATTTTGAATATGCATATATTGAGTGTATAGTCCATATGCTTGGGTCTGGCACATGCCAGATATATCAATTGCATACATGCTGTACCTGCTCAGGGAAGCTGCTGTTTCATGGGTGCTGAAGTTACACCATATAGATCAGCTGAAGAGCACATACAGCTGACTCCCTGTCCCTGAGATGCAGCAGGGACATCCTCATATTTCTTTCCAAGATTTCCTGAGTGAACGTAATGAGGCACACCGGTGAGTCTGAGAGGATATCACAGATTCCAGTAAGGAAAACGGCTGGGATGAGCATCAGCACTACTGGTTCTGTGATCCCCTTTACCATACATACCCATTATAACCACACAACAGGAAGATCTTGGGATAAGTTTATCCGGCAGGCAATTCCCATTTATAGATAATTTATACTTAAATTAGATGTTGCTTATTTAATTTTAAGACCCTCCTTTTTGGTGTGAGAGGGGATCAGTGTTCATGGTCTTTTAGCATAATTTATTTTAAGAACAATGTGAAGCAAGAAACTTCCTTTATCTGCTTAACCATAAAATATTATTATGTATGATTATATAGGATTCTAGGAAGTTATAAGTTTGTGTTCAAAATCACTATAGAAATGCAGATGAAGGCAACAAGGAAATGAAATGTTCACGGGAAAAATAGTTCCTTTTATGTAGGACAACAAAGCACTATGTGGCCTGGCTACTGTATTAATTGAAGAAAAGTCTGTCACCATTTCTCATAAATTGTGTCCTTTCACTGCCTGGTAGTCCTGGAATAGAAGCAGAAATTTTTTGAATCCATGTAGCCTGAATTCAGGCCCACATGTCCCAATTTCTTGCCTGCCTAGGTTTGCAAATCCTGAAAACTCTGTCCTTTCTTAGGCATTATTGACTATCTTTTAATGTTTGGAACACACACTGAGGCATTCCAAATTTGTGTTGGTTAAAAATAAACTCATAGGCACCTAAATTTCTTGGTTCAGTTTTAAATACATCTAAACACAAAGTTTTCAGATGTTAAATGAATGTGCCTCATTGCCTTCTCAAAAGCCAGTCTCAGAGGACAACTGTGCAACTGTAGCAAGACTCTGATACAAGAATATTTTTATCCCTTTTTATTAATATTTGAAATATACATGTGACAGTCTTGGAAACCTGAATGTGAATTTGTCTTTGTCACACTTTTAAATGATAAGTGAAGGTATACACCTAACTTAGACTCTTGCACCTTACCAAGGAGCAAAATAAATCCCCCTCATCGCAAACAGCTTTGAATGTTTTTAAATTTTCTTTAAGTTTATTCTTACTTAATAGCCCAATAATCTTCAAAACTTATGACAGATGAAAGCAAAAGTACCAGGCTTTACAGGTAGAAAGGCAATCAGTAATGTTATTTTTATGTCTGAGTTGTGTAAACTTGATGACAGAAATAAGTAGGCAATTTCAAAAGGGCCCAAGAGTCCAAGGTCAGATTGAACTGAAGGAGGGCAATCCTAATGTTTACTGTCATTTAAATGAAATGTCTAAAGAAAAGCCTGTCACTAATATTTAAAGCCAAAATGCTCGCATGAAGAAATCTGACCTGAGACAGAAGTTCTGACCAAAATCAATATGGATAAAATTCAACCTGTATTATGAAGGATTTTCCTACCTATTGAGTGAAACTGTAACTGAGCATTAAAGGAGTCTTCCTGAAAGGATTTTGCTAACACAATTTTATATTACTTGCCATGTATTTTCTACGTATCAATTTGCTTTAGTTATTATTAGAATAGGTAGAATACTAGAATTCTAGCAGCTGCTACAGCACTAGCTATCATTCCATAGCATATATCACTTAAAACTATAGGCCTCTAATTAGTACAATATTTTGTTAATATACTGAAATTTCAACTTTATAAGGGATAACTTTTAGAGAGGTGGTAGAAGTTGTAACTTAAAGGGTTTGCACCTTTAGATTTATTACATGCAGATAGAGACTGAGATCTAAGTCATACTTCCATACTCCACTTGGAAAACATTCCAGAATTAAGGCTTGATTATATTTTATTAGACAGTTCCATGACGCCTGAATAAATGCCTTGGAGAAATCCATGCACATTTCTCATATGCTGTGTTAAACCTTGGGTATAAAGCACTCTATTTTCATGTTGACTTTATGTGCATTTTCTTTCTTGTGTAGTAACGATCGCATTCAGCCAAGGACTCTGTGTAAGCCTCTCAAACAGGAGTTCCAATTTTTCTCCTGTGGTTTCCTAGACAACTGTCAAATTCCAAATACAATCAATGAATCTTGTGTTACATGAAGTTTATTCTTTCATATTTTGTATCGACTTGTTTCTGTGGCGTAGTGAGTCTAGAAGTGTTTCAGCTGCATAGTTCTTAATGAGTCAATTAATTTCCCAAGTTTAGTTTGTTTTTCTTAAATTCATAAACAGTGTTTTCTGTTGCAAGTGCATTTTCGTAAGTTTCCCTATAAAAATTTAGAAAGGAGTACTACTTTACAAACAGAGTTTTCTATTTCTTTTATACAACAAAATCAATATTGTGATGTATTTAGATATTGCTCACTGATGTTTTATTGTAACTTCTTTAACATTTTTCCTGTGGATACTGTTATATGTACCAGTGTTTCAACTGTCAGCACATTTAAATTTTGAATACGCAAAGTATTAGGAATTTGTTTAATTTGGACAATTAATTTTGTGGATAACTCTTTTTCTTGTTAATCTAGAACTGGGTTAACACTTTTATAATTGCTCAACACCAGATATCCATACAGCTGCCCACAATTCTGTTCATTGCATTTGCCTCTAACATGGGATTTCACTTAGGTGGCACCATCACTGGCATATTGTCCTGTAATGGTCTTCTAAGAAAATCTCATTTTGAATAACCCCATTCCTTTATTTTCCAGTTTATCATTATATTGTAAGGGAACTGAAGAGCATGAGGATATAGTTTATAACATTTCTTTGAAGCAATATCATGTCTCAGAATTTAAATCTTTTCTAACCAGTTTTAGATTAAATGCTTATGCCATATATGCAGAAGACTTCAGGAAAGAGCCTTAAATGAAAGAATCTATGTAATCTATCCATCAGGAATCACCTCTGACTAGGCCTGAGATTTTACCTGTGCTTAATTCTTGGAATATGAATTAAGATAAGCTGCCCTAAATAAAAATATTTTGGTCAACAAATTATCAGCCAAAATAATATTCTATCATCACTTTCAGCTACAGTAAAACTGTGTAATCTGGACCCATCCATGAAAATTTCTGGTATTGGAGTGAGAACCAAGGATATTAAATCAAGAAAAAAAACCCTAGAGGTTTGGGGTTTGTTTTTTTTTAATTTGCTTGGAGTTTTTTTTGTTTGGTTGGGTTTTGGGTATGTTTTCTTTATTTATTTGTTGGGCTGGTTTCCTCCTCTTCTTCTTCTTCTTGTTTTTTTAGTGTATTGCAAATTATACAGAAAAAAAATATGTTAAAAACTATATGAGATTAGATATTGGTTGAAATCCTGTAATGAAATTACACTGACATAGCATAGGTCTACTATAAATTCAAGACAAAGGACACACAATTCAGCCAACCTGCTTCCTTCAAGTTTTGCTGTAATTACCACTTATACTTCCATGATGCATAGAGGTAGAGACAAGATTTGGGTTATATATGAAAAAGGGCTCTCTGCCCTTTATTTTAATTCAAAATACAGATTTGTTAAAATTATCTACTCTTCTAGTGTTATTAGTAATTCTCATATTAAAGATGAATTCCTCAACATTTTGCACACTAGCAGATATTTTACAACTGGAGAGAAGTTACACTTCCTTTTTGGAAAAAAATTGTCATATGAATGTTTAGTATTAGTGATTGTTCTTTTATTAGGAACTTTTAGAATCCCTTTCATATTATTTTGAAACTTGTGAGCAAAAGCACTTAAACATTTTGCTGTATCTGACCATGAGATCAAATCTCAGCCACAGTGCTGCTTGAGAGGCAGAATCCAGATGCACCCAACAGTCAAAGGGATGGGAAAGTCCCATCTGTACCCCCAGGGAAAGCTGCATTCAGTGTAAAATATGCATTGGTGGATAAGTATCAATGGTGGCAGAGTCATGATTCCCTGAGGTCAGTACTGGAAACACAGCTTTCACATGTCTTCAGTGGAGCCTCTCCAGTAGTGAGTCACCACAGCAAAATGTACTGAATCAGTGCTTCGCTCAAAATGACCGAGGAACTGAAAGAATTTGTTCTTAGCCATCACTGGGATGAGTTTATGTTACATTATGAAACAATGGAAGTCTAATTATGTTACCACTTATTGTTTATTTGGGAAAATACAATTCTAGATTGATAGGAAATAGTACTAGGCAAATTTTAGGTTAGTTTTTGAAGCACATTCTCTGTACTTGAAGTATTTGGAGATCCTCTTTCTTTAAGAGTAAGAGGAGCAGTGGTCTAAGAGAAAGATTTCACTTTTTGTTTTCCCACCTTTTGTGTTTTCTCTGACCTGATCTGTGTCTACTCAGATTTTCTTTATTTTACCTACAGAGTTTCTACAGTGGCTGTTCATTCTCACTGTATTTGGAGAAAAGTATTATTAAGAGCTGCTTTGGCAAGAGCAGAGACCTAAAAGAGAGGGATGTCTTCTTTTCTTCTCTAGAAGTAAAAGCAAAATAACAACATTAAACAGTAAAAAAAAAAATAAAAAATAAAAGCCAGAAATATATCTAGATGAGATATCCAAATGAGAATAAATGTCTCAAAGACTGCTCATCTGAATCTCAATGGCTGAAGACTAATATGTGTAAGATGTAAGTAGATTATTTAAATTTAAAGAACTGGATACCCATTAAAGGCTGAGAAAGACATGGCCAACTTTTGGCCAGCTCTTGTAATGATGCAAGTAATATATACTGAAGTACCTGAAGAATAAGTGTTTTTATGATGTTATATTCCTTGGCAGGGAAGAAAAATTTTGTTGCACAAAGAAAAGCATTAGTACCAAATATCTCTATGATAGATAACTTGAAGAAGTACCCATATGTTCATGCAAATATAGAGTTAATTAGCTTCCATGCCTGCTTAAGGACAGCAGATCTATTGGGATTAATGATACACTGTTCAGTTCCCCAGGTGAGAACACTTCTGTTAGTCTGGGAATTACTGTCTACCATGTCTTACCCCATGTCTACCAAAGGCTGTACTAGTGATGCAGTCATTCCAACAAGACCCATTTTTCCCTTCTAGTGAAAGCAAGCAGATAAAAGATGAGGTGGAGTCTTTGAAAAGCACACTTAAAGAATATTTTTAAATGTATTTTTGTCCTGTATTAGATTTTGTGAAATAACTAATTTTCAATTGTTTTTCTTATTTCTCACTGCTCCTAGGTTGGAAAAATATGTCTATGTGGATATGTAGACTTACCCTTGTCTACGGAAATTAATTTTTGATAAGCTTTGGATGTAGGAACAAAGAATGAGAGAGGCTTGAAGGAACTGCAGTCTTGAAGAAGCTTCAGGTCTCGAGGAGAAGCCTTCCTTACCAATTCATTTTCTGCTAGAAATGCAGTCTTTTTCTTTTCACATTAGCAAAAGATGCAGAGGTTAAATTCTGAGATTTGGCATTTCTTAGAAAAATAAAGGTAAGACTGTCTTTTCTTCTCAGCCAGAAATAATGTTTCACTGCAAAAGATGGCTAGTTGATATTCTGCTACATATCTTCACTAAAATACCAGTGAAAAAATGACAAAAACACTTCTATGAGGTCCAGCTGTAGAAATCTGTGTTACTTATATTGGAGCTACTTTTCTTTAGAATTTTAGGAACTCTTATATTGGAAGGTATTTGCAAGATGTTGATTAGAGTACAATATTCCAATGAGGTTGATGGACTGAGAAAGAGACCCTTCCTCTTCCTCTTCAATTGCATATGGTCTTCATTTGTCCTTCTTTAGGTTTCTCCAATACTTCAAGTGTTGACACTTGATCTCTTTTTCCCCATTCTCAGAGGCAACTCATGGTGTTAATGAAAATACAAGGCAGGTTAACTTTTAAAGAATTCCTAGAGGTTTTGGTCAATTTTATCTATAAGATTGTCATGGTTGGGTCAGATAATTTATTTTGGGAGTTCTACAACTTGCAGATAGATATCTGAGGAATTCAGGTTTATCCCTTTACATAACTGAATTTTTGATTACTAAGAACTGAAATAAAAAATAAGAACAAATTAATTTGAAAGTAAATGTTGGAGAGAGGTTGAAGGAAGGAAAGGGGTGACTGGAATGGCAATGGGCACAAAGAGACAAGTAAGTGAGGGAAAGGCTATCCTTAGCAATGTCTGGTGAGAGGGAGTAGGGTCCAACAATCTTTTCCCAAGAAGCAGCTTCTGGATCTTTCAGACAGGTCTGAAATTGCTTCCAGTCTGTAATCTAATCTGTTTTGAGTGTTTTCCCATCTACCTAGTCTTTCACCAATCAGACAGAACCTCATGTAATGTATTCTACACAGATTTCCAAAGTCTGATAGTGTTCTCTTTTGCTGAGGTTGGGGTTTTTAAGGTTTAGTTAATGTACTTTCACACCTAATTTCAAGTCATCAGTGAGAACATGAAATAAAATTTCATGCAATACCCCTGAAGCACCTGAAGCTTTTACTACATTTACTGTTCTTTGGCCAGGTTTCAGCCTATGTGAGTTACCAGTTCACATTCAGCCACTTATTTTAAATCACTGCATTCTAAATCATTTTAAAGCAAGTTTATATTAAGGAATATTATTTCTGTGACAAGTCCTTATTAGTTGTATATAAGTTGTATATAAATATAAGTATTTTCATCTTCCGGGATTTATTAATTTTATTAATAAACACCTGGTGGTGATTTCATTATTTTTATTTTGAATTGTTATGTAACACTAATGCCTATAGGCTACTGAGGTTGACTGTACAAATACAGGCAAAATACAAAACAGAAGTACAGTCATTGTTACAGATAAATTATAGTCTTAAAAAAGGACACAATGTATCAATAGTAAATGTTAAATTTAGTGGAAAAAAGGAAAATAAATCCTATGTATTAATCAGGGGGGACCAATAATAACAAATTGTCAAAGTTTAAATTACTAGATTGCAGTTTAAAGAGTCAGGTTCTGACCAGGTGCTAAGTTTTGGAGGCTGTTTTCACCTTTGAGAAAATCACTCCTTTCCTTGAAATACCTGTTTTTATGAAACCAACTTTCATGCATTCCTTGCCTTAGGACCAAAGGACAATTTTAACTGAATGTCTCTTTAGATATCTCAAAAAAATCTGCATTGCATTGCATTTACCACTGTGAACTACAGCAGTGACATTTTGAGTCTCTTTTGATCTTTTTGTAATTCTGCTTTTTTACTAGAATATTTTAAAGGAGTAAAAAATAGGGTAAATATGCCAGGATAAATGGCAAACAATGGTAAATGTCAGTTTAAAAGATTGAAAAGATAATGATCTGTAACTTAAAAAATATATATTTCAGACCACACTTCATGAAATTATTCTCTGTGCATAAAAGCCATGAGAACTGTCAATAAAAATATTTCGTTTTAGTTCTTCACAAGAAACTAATACTTACAAATCCTTTTCTTTCTAGAACAAATTGAAGGCAGCATTTCCTGATTTGGAATTTGATCGAAGCACAGTAACTTAAATGTAACTTACCTTCTCTTTCAGAAAACCAATATCTGAATTTTGCAAAGCAGCTTCCCAAACACTAAGAGCAGGAGCTAGGATGACTCATTTTTTCAGACTGTCCCAGGATATGTTCTCTTGTATCTCTTTCCTCGTAGGGACAGTAAGAGCTTGAATTGAGGTATTTTTCTGATATCAGCACAGAAGAGCTACACTTTTTATTTCTGACCTGCAGAGAGTAATCTCTAGCTAATGCTGAGGTGGTGCCACCCTGTTGTTTCTGTCTGTTCCGCTGTGGGAGAACCATTCTTTTGATTTGGACAAATAGTTTTACTTCCATTGAAGCAGCTGGTCTTATTAACACTAGCAATTTAAAGGGAAGTTTTTAATCCAGGCTTTAGCATCTCAGAGGTTGTTGCAGGGTTTGGCATAGGGGAGCATACTTGTTCCAAGATACAGCTTCTCAAATAAAAGATTAGCATAAGAAAATTAGGATAGCTGGTCATTTCACATATTCCCTTTGCTATCTGCATACTTACTTCAACCCTAATCAAGTGTTTCAGTTCTAATGGAATGAAAATCTCAGTAGTCAGCTTTTTCAAGGTTTTAGCAGCCAGTACTACCTGGTACTTACGCTGGTACTTTCACTTTTACCATTTGCCCTATTTAAGATATCATAAAAATAGATACCTTCAGGCCACTTCTTCTGGCTTTTTCAGAGATACAGGAAAATTAATTTGACATTGTTAGCGAAGATATTTTACTTACTTTCAGACTCATCTTCTGTAAATGATAAGATTATTATATTAAAAATAAAATTTAACAAGTTATCTGTGGACATTAGATAACTAGCTGAAATATGTGTAAAATTAAAAACATATAGATACTGTTGCTCAGTCTTACTCTTTAAAGGTAGGGACTGAAGTAAAACTGGAGAAGGATTTAAAAAATGCAATGCTCAATTATAACTAAATGGCAAAAGCATGTCTTTAATAAATGGGAACTTCATTTTCTAATGCAATGAATTAAATTATAGAGCATTACATATATGATATATAGGCTAGAATTTTATTTCAAATACGTGAAACTCTCTCTGCTGAGCAGCAGAAGGTACAGAGGGGCCTGGACCACATGTAATTTTGAGACTTTTTCTTTAAAGACTGTTTTCAATGACAATTATTCCGAACTATTAGATATACAGAATGTCTGAATTCTGCCTAATATCATTCATATCCTGGCAGTTTAGTGATCAGATAACAAGCGATTTTAAACCCAGTGAAGGAAGAAGAGGAAAGCTATTACTAACAAATGAGCTGTTCATGATTCAAGGATTGCTAAGAGCTTGTTCAGGGCTCAGTACAGGCAGCAACAAAACTTTTGTTTCATTGATCTATTAAATTAAGGCATGTATAGCAACAGTAATCAGATACATATTTCTGTGTTATTCTGTTAAGCTTTGTAAGCTAAATGAAAATGCTTGGGGCATATTTAGTATAGGAAAAACCTTCTTGTGTAATAGCAACAGCAAAGACAAGATATAATTGCACTAGACAGTAATGGAGGCAGGTCTCAAGTAATGTTTCCAACTTGTCAAGAAAACTTTTTTAGGGCATGTTTTTTTCCCTGAGAAATACAGTGAATCCTTAAGTCTGCCAATTCTTTCACCAGTAAGTCATTGGCTCCTTTGTGGATTTCTAGCAATACAAATACATATCTTTTAAGTGAAGACAATTCATTTTGTTATAGCATTCATAGCTGTAACTGTTAATGGATGAAAAGCAACCTAAATAAATGCACTGAACTATAAAGACAAGGCAGACACGCCGATGACTTGATTTAGATGCATCTTTTGAGACTAGTTTCATAGAAAATGCACCTAGGGTGACAAGTTGAATCACAGACCTGTAAAATGGGGAATAAAGAAATGAATTATTCAGAAAGACCAAAGAGAAACCTCAGACATCTTCTTAGTTCATTAATCCTGCATGAGCAAAAGTAGTAATCAAAGGGCTGTATCCAGAAAATGAGTATGCTTTTAATTCTAAAAAGAAGGGACAAGTTTGAGTTTAGGATCTTTGTAATTGGGAGTTACATTAATTAAAAAAAGGGATTAGCAAAGGCATCATCTTGAACAAAGAAAAAATTAGTAGCAGAAATTTCAGCATAGAAGCCTGTGATAAGGTTGCCTGCTGGAGACTCTGGCTGACTTTATAATTTATTTTTCCTTTTATACTTCATCTGTGTCTCCAGCCACTCCAAGGTCTCTGCCATTCTGCACATTACATTAACTCATAGTTCTCCAGGATACTCCTTGAGAGAAATTTTCTTCTTTGTGTCTACAGTACAATGTGTTTTAATTATGAATTTATGGTCAGGTATCCTGGTTCTGCTCTTGTATTACTTCTCCACTTGGTCCTATGATCTACTGACTAAATTATTTCAGTGACCTCAGTGCTGATCATACACACTGATGCTGTGCTGTGAACCCACTCCAGAGACAGACTTGAGGTGGTACAGGAGCATGAGTCTTTACTGTGCCATTGGATTGGTTATTCAGATTTAGGAAAGTGAGTACTCAGATTTAGGAATCTGAGGAGTATGCTGTTTCATTTCTTTCCTCCTTTTTCTTAGTCTAGGTTTTTCAAGCACTTTTTAACATCCCCTTCTGCCTTCACATGTAGCATTTTGTGTGTCTCTGCATGTATCTATTTCTACAAACTGCTTGAGACAGACAAGAAGCTTTAGCAGAAGGACTATTGAACGAGTGCAAATGAGCAGAGTATTATGTCTCAAATTTAGATGTGGCATCTCCAGGATACAGATGTTGCACATTCATGTAGCAATGTAGCAAAGGTTACATGGCTTCATGTAACAGAAAACATAATTAAAGCTCATTAGTTAAGCATTGAAACTCACTCTTGAAATTGGTTCTCATAATTAAAATTTTTGCATTTTTTCATGCCATAAACTCTTGCAAAGTAGACACCAAGTAAGGCTTTAATTTCTTCCCTGGTGGCAGCACTCTTTAACCATATCTGCCTTCATTTTGCCATTCTCTCCCTCCAGCTATTCAAACTTCTCAACTGTGCTGTACAGTACATCACTTTAAATAACTGATCCTGCTGCAGAAGGACTAGGAAGAGAGAAAAATAACACTGTTTTCAGTTGATGCACTGCAGGACTTCATAAAGAAACCTGCTGTACAGTAGAGAGTTCAAGGCAGAGTGCAGGAAAAAGCAGCATCATCCACCAGTGGTACTAAAGACATTCAGAGAGAACCAGAGTCTTAGATTTTGGACTAGTTTCAGTCTGAAATAATACTATGGCACTTGTCTTGAAAAGAATCAGAAGCAGCATCTTTTCCCACATAGCCTTGATTGTACATGCTGTTTCCTTTTACTTAAAAGGCCTGTGGTTTTGATTCACAGCTGATGCTCAATAAACACAACCTAAGCTGCTCTGGTATCTAATATTAGCCTTCACCACAGTTAAGTGTCAGTAAGAAAGAATTATGCTTGTTCCTCCCATAATTTAGTTGCTGTAATTTAAGCAGCACAGTCGTGCAGAATCTTTTAGTTTAATGAAAGTATTGATGTTTGGAAAGTTGTATCACCGATGCTTGAGAAAATATGGAAAGATAAAAATCTATTAAGCAGTTGAATGTAAAATTTTCAACAGTGCCTCACAGAATATGCACTTATACTTGCTGTTAAAAAAAAAAAGCAAAAAGCTGGACTGTTAAAACACTTGTGTCAGCAATTTGCTCTAACTGGGAGTGTCCAAGGACACAAGGCAAAGCAGTATCTGTGGGTAGAAATAGTGTCTTTTTCTGGATCAGTAGGAAAAAGCTGAAAAATAATTTATAAAATACCTAAATAAATTCTGAACAGTTGCTTTTAACTGCCATTCAGCTTTGAAATATGCTGCTTCTATTTCTATTTAAGCCTGGAAAGAGTTTCTGACCAAATGTTGGGGTTTTTCCTATTGGTACAATCTAGCTTGACTAAATTATTTAATTTTCTCTTATAGGTCATTCTTATGCAAGAAGCTAAAAGTAATTAAATTTGCAGGATGAAAACATGGCACAGGCACTGCTGGTACCACCTGGACCTGAAAGCTTCCGCTATTTTACTAGAGATTCTCTCGCAGCTATTGAAAAGCGTTCTGCTGAAGAAAAAGCTAAAAAGCCCAAGCAAGAACATACAGATGATGATGATGAAAATGGTCCAAAACCAAACAGTGACTTGGAGGCAGGAAAGACACTGCCATTTATTTATGGTGACATACCTCCAGGAATGGTATCTGAACCTTTGGAAGACCTGGACCCATATTATATCAATAAAAAAGTGAGTGAATTATGTTTGCACAAAATAGAATATAACTTTATACACTAGAAAAGTTTAATCACAAAATGTGGTTGGAACTATCAATCTCCTGAATATCCAGAATTATCCTTTGATTTAACAGAACTGATTTATGCTCTTCCATACTGTGACCGCTTCAGTTCCGTTGAGTTACTTACTATTTACTTCATTGTAAGGAAGATGTGTCTTCCTTGATCTTGCCTGAACTTGAGCACAGAATGATTTTTCTTGATGTCAATATAATAGTAAGACTGGATATGACAAAAGAGATGTTCCAAGCATGATTTTGCAATGGAAATAGTTGTAGATAGCAAGGTAGCATCCACTCAAGTTAGTGAAATAGAGAACTGTAACCATAGTCTTTGTTTCTATATATAGCTATATATCATATTCAAACATACATATGAAATGTGTCTCTATATATGTAGCATATAAAGACTCTGTAAATGTTGGCTCATATGAAAATACCATAATGCAAACTATTGCTTGAGGTGCTTGGGTTTGCTATGATAGATCTCTACAGGAGAGCTGTCAATTAGAACTGTCTGGTAGACCATGGAAAAGCTTATTTTTGAGGAAGGAATCAAAAAAAGACATTTTTAGTGTTCTGAAGAGTTTTCATACAGAAAGACCAGAGCAGAGTTGTGAAATAAAAGCAATGTACTAAGTTACATGTGTGGGGCTGTAGCACAACAGGACCATTAGTAGCAAAACTCTGCTCTGTGAAGAATGCAAACTCCTAAAAGAGATGTATTTTTCCTTCTTATATGCACAGTCATACACAGTCCTGGTGTTATTTGAGTTAGGAGAAAGACAAGATAAAAACAAGAACTAGTATCTAGGATTAATTGTAGACTGTTTTAAAATCCTCCAGGGTCTGAAACAGTCCAGCCTGGGAACAGGTAAAGTACATTAGGTCCTGCACTGATTAGTGAAAGTACAGGTGACAGTAAGAGACAGTTTTCCTCTATATTCTTGTTTATTTCTCTGTGCTTCTTTAGCAGCATCAAGGTATTCTCTCAGTTTCTGATAGACCTCAAAGTGTTGTGGGTAAGGAGAGTGAAGGAAGATGAAGAGGTGGATAACACCCCTTAATTAAAAATTGGAGAAGGTGTTATATGGAGAAGCACTTGGGACTATCTTTTCCCATCTCTTTGAAACAGGAAAAGAACTGGACACAGTTACTCTATTGATGGCTTGAAGCATTCCAGGCTGCCATCAAGAGAAGAAACTTGATGCTTAGCCACTATAAAAAAAAAATCAAGGCATAAAATACTTTAAACTCCAAAGTAAAGTGGTTTGCTAGGAAAAAATCATGCAATACTTTTTGTGGCTAAATTTGTGGTTGTCTTTGGTTTGTAAAATGGGATTAAAAATTAGGGCCTTGGTAATGGGAACAGAAAATAAAGCAGAATCTTATGTAATTGCATAACCTAACAGCTGCCAAAAATAAATCAACAATGCTGTAGTTAATAAAAGTATGTATATCATTAGGGAAATGTAAAGAAATTAAAGCTCAAAGAAGTAGCATTGCCAAGAGTTATTTAAATTTATATGGATTGGGTTCCATACTGCTCCATGCAAGTTCTTACTTACAATATAATTGTCAGTACTAAGCCCTTTTGTGGTCTAGCTCCAAAACTTCAGGAATAAAGTTGCATAAATAAGTTCAGGGATAAAGTTTTCTGAATAAGTGAAGTTTCAGAAAGCCTGAGAAGTTCTGAAATATTGTTTCTAACCGCCATTGATTAGAAAAAGTAGTCAGATTTTTTGGAACAAAAGTGTAAAAGCTCACATTAATGATGGATTTCTTGGTATATGAGAGCAATTAGTAAACTGTAGGATCTTTAGTCACAGATGACATCTGTGTTTATATTACCTAGCAGTATAATTATGCTCAGTGCAAAACAAATGGACATCTTAAATCATGGACTAGAATTAGTCATCCCTCCTCTGGTGTATAGCAGAAACTACCCTTAATCATTGACTTGTCAGTGCAGAGGAAATCATATGTGAATTTAGTCTGTCTTCAGGCTCAGCTGCAGCAGTGACCTTGGGACAGGCAACATCTTTCTAGCATTTCCAGCTGGGTGAAGGACTGTAGGGCAGGGAGAAATCCCAAGGAGTGTGTGTCCATTCCCTGCCACCCTCAGTGTTAGCTTGATGTTATTCTGTGAACAGGCACCTGCAACACTCCTTTACCCACCGTGGAGAGGTTTGCTTTCCTTGCCTTGGATGACTGTCCAAATAGGCAGTAAAGGCCATGGAGAGGGCAGAATTTTTCTGATCACAGCCAAGTTTTTACAGAGAATGGAAATCAACATGGAGAACAGTGATACTATATAGCTCTGCAGAGAGTGTAACAAAGAGTCTATTATGTTAACACAAAGCAGAGCCATTACCATCGACAAAGAGCAAAAGGAATGAAGAATAGTTATGTCCTGAAGAAATTTCAAGCAGCACCAAAAATGCAAGTAAACCTCATTCACAGACAAATACACTTAGGCAATGACTGCCCACAGAAACATAATAAACTGAACACAAACCATAGGTTTATCAGACCAAATTTTAAAGGATAATCACTAGCTAAATTTTCTACTCACATATAGGGAAAGTAAGAGCATATTGTTAACAAGTAAACCAGCAATATTTTTTTATAAAATATTTGTTGTGATAGGATGTCAAATTCTGGTGTATGTTTGCCTCACATTGCTGAGAATTATGTTAGCTGGCAATATATTAATAATTTTATTTTTTTCACAGATATATATTTTAGAAGAGGCATATAACTGCTATTGGTAGTATTTAAAACAGAAAATGAAAGCAAAATTATTTTTAAATTGTGGTTGATTTTGTAATGACAATTTCTCCTTGTCACTATATATATGGTGCATATAATTCTGTCAAGTGTTTGCTCCAAATACAAACTGGCATTTAGAATTGTCCTTTTGCTATTTTGTTTTTTTTGTGTTTGCTCACAAGGTGGAATGTATTTGATAAATTTGAAGCTCTCACTTTAATCAAAGACTTCATAAGAAATAAAATTGAAATATTTTATTGGCAAAATCCTGCATTTTGCTTTTATTGATAAACTGCCATTGTTTTTTGTAATTTTCACCAATTTTATTAATATCATAATTCAGTCCACATGCTGGCAAATTTGGCAAATTGGAGAATTGGCTGTGGAAGGCTTACACCATTGTATTAATAGAAATCAGTTATTTTCCTACCACAGGTATACGGTAGAATGGAACTTGTACCTCTCAGGTGGAGAATGGAAAAATTTAGTAGGAGGTGAAGATATATATGTATTCAACACTGTATTTTAATTTTGTGTTTCTTTTTTGCAGACTTTCATAGTATTGAATAAGGGAAAAGCAATTTTCCGATTCAGTGCCACATCTGCCTTGTATATTTTAACTCCTTTTAATCCCATCAGAAAAATTGCTATCAAGATTTTGGTACATTCATATCCTTTTTTCTTAATGTTGATTTAAGTGCTGCTATTTAAAAATACTTAATGACTGAAATAATACTTTTCATGTGGATATACAAATTGTGTCTATGGGAGTGAACTATGCTAAATAAATATATGTTGCTCACACTTTGAAAAAGGAGCAATATCACATGTGAATTGCAGTATGATCTTCATCCCTGCTGAGAGAATTCTCTACTGAGCCACCTAAATCTGTCAGAGTTTAAATATCAGGCTTTATATCTAAAAGGAGACCTGATCCCATACTAAGCCCTGCAGCTAAGGCCACATTAGTAACAAACCATTGCACTTGAACATATCTAAGGTCACACTTTTACCAAGACCAGTAGTAGTATTCATGAACTAGACTCACTTAGCAAGGACAAAAGAGCATGGGTAAAGAGCAGCTTTTTCAGCATTGTGTTTTCAGCATTGGGATAGGTGTCCTATAAAAGATTTGGGATAAAGGAGAGTGTTTTCAAATATATTTCAATCATGTTCAAAGAAAAGCTTGAGCCTGAAGAACCATGCACTAGAGATCTTCTAGAACGATCCACCTGTATTAAAACAATAATTACATTTGGGTAGTCATTTCATGATTTACAGTTAAAGATATATTTAAACTTAATTTAAAACATAAACCTGCCATAATTACAAAAGTATTGCCTTTTTTTACAAAAGTGCACCATAATATCCCAGATGGCACACCATTTAAAATATATAAAATTATGTGCAAAGCTTTTTTTTTAGGCTTTGATTAGAGTGTCATGTTGTTTGTTCACATTTGTAAACACAACATTTTTAAGTTATTTCAGTGTTACAAAGCTGTCCTACTTTTTTGACTTATGTGCCTTAACTCTAACCTACATTATTCAGCATGCTTATAATGTGCACTATTTTGACCAACTGTGTATTTATGACCATGAGTAACCCTCCAGACTGGACAAAGAATGTAGAGTAAGTTAAACATTTTTACTTTATTTATATGTCTTTGTTTTTGTGTGACTCCTAACAAGAAGCATTTATAAAAATGTGAATGCCAGAATGGGCTTGTCCAGAGTGAGGAAGAATCAGATTCCATGAGATCATCAATATCTTTCCCATTTTCTCCTGAATAACTTAAATGATATAAGAGTAACACCTTGTTTGTAAAAGTTATGCCTGAGGAATACCTGAACTTCTGCTGTATAGCACAAACAGGAGCTCTTGTCCTTGAATATTCTGAGCTGTAAATCAGACAAGGAGTTACAGATGAGCATGTAAAACTGTGCATGTAAAATGGTTGCCATACCTTTCTTGAGTATCCATGATCTCATCACAGTGGGTCTTTTATCGTGCCTTATTTATTTGACCTCATAAGTGCCTGCCACAACAAGGACAAACAACCTGCAAACCACAAGAAACTCAAACTGCAGTGGAAAGGGACTTACCTATGAAAGAGTAACAAAGAGCTGACCTAAATAAGGAGTATTTCTCTTGTTCATGGTTAAAAATGCATGTTTAACAAAATACAGATCCATGTTTTTCTCAGAAAGCTGTAGAATCATAAAATGGTTTGGGTTGGAAGGGGTCTTCAAGCTCATCCAATTCCAACCCCCTGACATGCATGGACACCTTCCACTAAGTCATGTTACTCAAAGCCCTTTATGTTTTTATTTGAAATTATACTACTCATGAAAAACCTGCTTCTGATCACTTTCTGCTTCCTTCATTCCCTCCTTTTCTCAAAAAGCCATTGCTGATATTTATTTATTTATTTCTCTGCTTTAATGAACCTTACTCTGAGCTCTGTTTAGAAACAGCTACCATTAACCCATTCCCAGTTAACAGTGACGATGGCTTGTTAGAGTTGTTGAGAGTCTGAAAGGAGAGCAGTAGTGTCTGTAGGCAGAGTTCCTTTTTTCTGGAGGTCCACCAGAGATCCATGTGGGTCTCAGGAAGTGTCTGCATTATGCTGGTTATAACTATTCTATGTTGTTAAATGAATGGCTGTTCCCACACCAGGTAAGCCGGTAATCATGCTCCCTATCTTTGAGAATTACAGTCTGGGCTTTCTTTCTTATATTTGATGATTATGTATGAAATAAACATGTAATACAGGCATTAGTATAGTTATTATCCAGAACTGATTTAGACATAAAAAACCAATTCTTCAGTTTTTGTAACACTTAGACATTTACCTGATTTATGAATGCAAGCAAAGAGGCAACCCTGTGAGTACTAAAGAATGTACATATAAATATCAAGGTCTAAAATGTATCCATAAATCCTAGAGTCAGAAATTATTTGTAAGCTCAAGAAGTGAGATTAAATTAACCTTTTAGAAAATGAGTAGCATATATATCAGGTTCAAATTTCAACAAGGGCTGAACAGGAACTACAATATTTAGGGCAAATGAAGTTAATAATTTACTCCTTTCACCTCTAAATACTTTTTCTTCTAAGTCATCTTTGCTAAAGAATGGAACTGTCTGTAAGTGTGTAAAAATCCATTATTCCTACTCTGATGATTTTCAGGTACACTTTCACTGGAATTTATACCTTTGAATCACTTATCAAAATTCTTGCAAGGGGCTTCTGCTTGGAAGGTTTTACTTTTCTGCGAGACCCATGGAACTGGCTTGACTTCAGTGTCATTTTAATGGCGTAAGTGGTCCAAGAACTTTTTAAGCTTTTAGGGCATGAAATTAGTGGTAAATATTAATATAATAAATGCATTTATTTAAACATATTTAATTTTTGCAACCTTTGAAGTTTAGACACTGTATCACACATTTAAGTATTCATAAATCAAAGAAAAATATGGCAGAAGCCAAAATGGAGTGTCAGCCATAGTGTAATTACTGCTGAAGGACACTAATTTCATGTCCTACATTTTTCTGCTCACCAGAAATGAAGCCATCCCTTTGACTTCATGTTACTGTCCCATTACAAGCTAATTAGTTTAACTAGATGTTCCAATACAAATCAGTGAGTTTCACTTCAATGACATTTAAGCAAAATTGATGAAAACAATTATTAAAGTGAAATGTACTGAAGAGACAGGTAAATTTTGAAGAATGATTGCTAGTATTGCCACAGAGGTTTTGAAGACCCACGTAATTAGTATAAGCTCTGCCTCAATTCTGAATAACTGTGATTTAATCCTACAGGTATGTAACAGAATTTGTAAACCTAGGCAATGTTTCAGCTCTTCGAACTTTCAGAGTATTGAGAGCTTTGAAAACTATTTCTGTAATCTCAGCGTTGAGAACATTCAGAGTTCTCCGAGCTTTGAAAACAATATCAGTCATTCCAGGTGAGAGCGAGGTTAAACACCGAGGCTGACTTTCGTTCCATTGAATTCACTTCCTCTGAGCATAAGTCCTGCTGTTTGCTGCTCATGTTGCCAAAAAAAATTAAATTAATAAAAAGGCATGGATCATTAACATAGTTCATGATTCTTTGCCTTTTCAGCATTAGCTTCTTTTGTTTTGCAAAATCAGCCTTTGAGTTTAACAGTCTTGCATGAAACATAGAATATAAAGCCTATGGGTTATTTTGCTTTGTTTTTCTGCATTTTATTGTGACAAATTGCCTCTACATTACAAAAGCTTAGTGCTATGGCTTTCTTGGTTTTGAAATTTTTCCTTTTTTTTACAACTTAAAATTGACATTAGTCTTAAAAATAAGCAAGTAACAACAAAAGAAGATAGCAAAGAGGAAAAAAATAATGCACAGGAAAATTTATCAAATGCAAATAATTTTTTTTTTCATTCAAAATTACTAGCAATTCTATCTCATGATGCTTCACACTGTTGTGAAGTCATGTTTAGAATTAACTGGAAACTGAATTATTGGCAGAATATTTAGTGCAGAGAAAAATTAGGAAATGCAATCAAAGCTGTACTAGGAAAGCATGATTGATAAAGTTTCCTGCCTGAGAATATTATATGTTCGATTTATTGGAATATATGTACATTTCATACTCATAAAAAGGAATCTTTTTCTTTCATTCATCTTCACAAGCTCTGAGGCTGCTCATGAAGCTTTACCTTTCAAGGACAAAAACCCTTTTTTAAGTGTCTGCATGGCCTCTTAATTATATGGGAAGGGCAAAGATACTCTTTGATATTTCCATGGATCTTTTCCCTTTGCAGGCCTGAAGACTATAGTGGGAGCCCTGATTCAGTCTGTGAAGAAGCTCTCGGATGTGATGATCCTGACTGTGTTTTGTCTGAGTGTATTTGCACTGATAGGGCTGCAGCTGTTCATGCTGCAGCTGTTCATGGGCAACCTGAGGAATAAATGCCTGCAGTGGCCTCCAGACAATTCTACTTTTGAGATAAACATTATTTCCTACTTTAACAGCACAATGAATGAAAATGGTACATTTGTTAACATGACAGTGAGCACGTTTAACTGGAAGGATTACATAGAGGATGAAAGTAAGAATGTCTGGTATAACTATTTTAATATATTTGTGGCTAAAATATGTAATTATTTATGACCAAAGAACATTGAGGGGTTTATATTTCTGCCTTATGTAGAACTGCTTACGGTCACTGATTTACAAAGATTAAATACATACAGTAAAAAATACAAGAACCAGAAAGGTTCCTAAACAAGGTACAAAGTGATTAGTAACTAGCCACTACATTTTAACATAATTTATGTTTCTTTTACTTTGTAGAACTTTCAGGTTTATGTAATCTATTCATATGTATTTCCAATGCTTTCTACACAGCTCATTTTTACATTTTGGAAGGACAAAGAGATGCCCTACTTTGTGGTAATAGCTCTGATGCAGGGTAAGACCCTTTCAAAAGTTCTCTATTATGCTCTGTAGAAAAGGAACATAAGATTTTGTTACAACTCCATATTTAGCAGGGTTACAGAACTTAAGGAATTTTGCAACTAAGTGAGAATTTCTTACTGGAGTCAAAATGTTTTACACTCTGGCTAAACAAAATACTAATTAATAGCCTTTTTCCTGCTTGATTGGAAAATGAAGTTGGTTTTATTGATGAGATCTGAAATTTTTAAAATCTCATTTGGTGATTTACTGATTGAAGAAAGTAGGCAGAAACAGAAGTTAAAAGTAAGAAAGAGAACATGGAAAATATTAAGAAAGCATCAGTGACTTCATAGTTCAAGACTGTGTCTGTTTTTTCAAGCCTAACCCTTTCAGTTCCGGTGAATTCTGTCATTTACATGTGCCAAATTATAAGCCTAGAATTGTTAGCTGAACTTGGATTGACTGGCAGCAGTGAAGAGATTTACTAAATATATATATATATATCAGCAATATGTGGGAAATCCCTAATACTACAATTGGATTTACCTTTTAATATTATTTATTCTGTCTGCAAACTTAACAGCATTTCAGTAGTTATTTCTGCCAGGAAACAATTACTTTGGAAAAAAGATTCTATTTGCAAAATGTAATTGTGGAGAATTTTAATATTTAGGTCATCTCAACCAGTGAGTGGATGTATCTTTCATTTACTATGTTATTAGTTAAATTCTTGTGATTTTTTTTTATGAATTAATTTAATTGTAATCTATGAATTTGCTGTTGAAAAATAATGCACATTCTTTCAAAAGATAATACATATTTTCTAGAAGGGAATAAAAACTATGACTAAGTGCCTCCTATTTGGTTTTCACATAGGCAATGCCCAGAAGGATATATATGTGTGAAAGCTGGCAGAAACCCCAATTATGGCTACACAAGTTTTGACACCTTCAGCTGGGCTTTTTTGTCACTGTTTCGGCTAATGACTCAGGACTTCTGGGAAAACCTCTATCAGCTGGTAAGAAATTATTATGACATAAATAATAAACTGTTGGCAATGTCCAAAATTACATAAATAGGTTTATTTTTGCATGAGCTGAGATAGATAGGTTGTGGAATAATATAGATTTGCTTTCTACTCCCTAGACACTGCGTGCTGCTGGGAAGACATACATGATATTCTTTGTTCTGGTGATTTTTCTGGGCTCTTTCTATCTGATAAACCTGATCCTGGCTGTGGTTGCCATGGCCTATGAAGAACAGAATCAAGCAACAATGGAAGAAGCAGAGCAGAAAGAGGCAGAATTTCAGCAGATGCTGGAACAACTGAAGAAGCAACAAGAAGAAGCTCAGGTAATGAAAGAAGCTGGACTTTCTGAACAACCTTGCTCTTGAGGCAAGGAAAAAAACCTTTTATGATTAAGAACAAATTGTGCAATGAATTACAGAAAATAAAAGGTCTTGTTTACCATGCAAGTTATAAAAGTGGAAATGGCCAATGAAAACCAGGAACTAACCAAATAGTTAAGAAAACAAGCTAATGGTACAGAAAAGAATGTTACTTCATTCACCAAAAGACTGTAAAAGTAAAACATTTGTCATAAGAGTGCTCTAGAAACCTGACTTTAAGTAGTCATAAATAATGGTGCTTTTAGGTTACAGATTTTATAAATAGCATGAACAAAGCTAGTGATGTTACTTCTGGTTTACATCTGAGTTAGAATTGCCAAGCTTGATGTACTTAATAATTCTCCCTAAATATTCATCAAATAGAGAGAATGATTGTAATCAGTGTTCTTCTAGGTTTCTCTCCATCAAGATAATTAGAAATATCCCTAATTGACACCGTAGTAAATCAGATGTTTATGTATCCTTAGAGCAGACAGGCAATATTCAAAAACAGATGAACAATATTCATAAGAAAGATATTACTTCAGAATTCCTTTAAAGTAATCTTGGTTTCCTTTGAAAGAAGAAAATTATTTAAATTTTTATGAGAAAAAGACGTTTTAATAGATACTTTTGTGAAAGATTTTCTTATCTGAAAGTAAAGTATATGCAGGAGTTCAGGTCTATGAGTCAGCCATCTGTCTAATTTCTGGACTGACTTTCCACTGCTTTTCAAATGGCATTTAGTCATTTTCAACAGGACAATGTTTATAAAATGCTAGCAAATTTGAAACTCCTACGAAACTCTATTTTTGGTAGTACTTTACAGGTACTTTCACTAACTTAGAATGACTTCATAAAGTGCTAACAAAAAGACAAACTCTTTGTCCTTTGCTTGAAAAGAAACCTTTATGTATGACTTGTGAAATCTAATTAGCATATCTTTATTTTAATCATGAAACTTTATCCTGTCCAAATTACTAAAGAGTAGAATCCTGCAAAATTCAAATTTAAAAAGGCTGAATGTCAGCAAAGTGTATATTGCTGGGTTTTTCTTAAATATGATATTGTAATGCCATAAAGGCAGTAAATCACATACTAAAAGATATCAGCAGCCTCATCTAGATGTTTGTGTATCTGAGAGTGGGGAATAATGAAGTTGATTCGGACTTAGAAAGAAGAATCGAATAAGAAACATAGATTATAAGTAAGGTGAAAGAAAGACCCTGGAAAGTAATATTTTTTTAAAATGAGCGACCTCTACATTCATTATAAGTAATGCATTATTGCAATCAGGATCCCTTTTGTTTGTGAAAACATTAGCAAAAAGTAGGCAGTATAAAGTGGATCACTGGAGTGTTGAATTAGTTGCTAAGGCAGAAACTTGTTTGGGACCCATCTCTTCACCCCCTTGACACTGAACCTATTCATCCACAAACTTAAGTCATCACAGTAGTCTTTGGATTGCTCCACTTGTTTGACCTTTACTGTTAGTATTGTGAAGTAGATGGGTGATGACTCAGCATCTGCTGCCTTTGTTTGTTAGAGTCTTTAAAGGATGATATTCTGAACCAGTATGACAAAATTTTGAGTATTGCTCTTTTATTTTCTAAACACTTCAGAGTCCTTCTAATACTCCATTTAGCAGAAAAAGTCTGTATCAAGTCAGCTTCTATAGCATGGGTTGTATATTGTGGCAAAGAAGGACATTAATTGATTCTATGAGCTTTCAAATTGTCCTTTCCTGCTGTAAAGAGATATGTCATCATTCCTGAAATACTTGGCATTGAATATAATATATTTTGCTGGATAATTACTAGTCATCCTTGTTATATAACCCTAGTCCCTTGCCATTTATCACACCACCCTTTTTTGTAAGCTAAGAGCAGCCTATCATCTCCCCAAAGATATTACCACTATGGAAATGCATCGTAGCCTCACACAGGATGTTTCGAGGAACAGCACTGAACATACTCTCAATTCTTCTTTTTTTGATGACTGAGAACTTTTTTCTAATGAACCAAAATAAGTAGGCTGACCTACTTATTGATACTGTAAATATACTGGCCCCGAGTTTTGGGATGACTCTGCTCCAGTAAGTCATCTCGCCCCTTTCCATCAGAGAAGAAATCAAAAGCTTTTCTTCTGTCACGCAGTAACACCAACAGGCAATAAATGCACCTTTGCATATCTTTAACAAAGACTTAGAGTGCAGATGCAATGGCACATGTGGGAGGGGAAACATGAAGAAGGAGGAAGGGCTTGAAGATGTGTCTGGAGGTTGTGCCTGGTACCAGCAAAGGCACAAGGAAAGTAAAGGGAGTGTTCTTGCTGTGAAGACAGTAAAGAAAGGCTGGATTAAACTGCTTTCAGGGTGCTAGATGGATTTTTGACACATTAACTCACATGATAAATGCTATGCATTAGTTTTCTCCCTAAGAGCTCAGAAGGGATCAGATGAATTAGACCATGATGGGGGGTCTCAAGAGAAAATGGAATAACAGATCTGAAATACATGAAAGAGCACTATGTTAACACTTTTCTGACTACTTTTATTTCAGACAAGGGTCTTGCACAGCAATTCTTTAACAAATAGTTTAGCTATTGTTCTACTGAAGTTGGTGCTTCAAATAGCTCATGCTGCTAAACAGTAAGGACCTGTACAACTCCATAGTTTATCTTCAGTACAATTTCTTTGGGTATATTTACATATTCAGGAGTGTATGCAGAGCATTATTATCACAGTGATAATAAAAACCAGTTGATGAAAGACTATAAAATTATTCTTTTTTTTGGCTTACTAAGAATACCTTGCTTTGTAACCTGACAGACAACAGCAGCAGTAGCAGCCGCATCAGTTGCATCAAGAGATTTCAGTGGTGTAGGGGGATTGGGAGAACTCTTGGAAAGCTCTTCAGAAGCATCAAAGTTAAGCTCAAAGAGTGCTAAAGAAAGAAGAAACAGAAGGAAGAAAAGAAGACAGAAAGAAATGTCTGAAGCAGAGGACAAAGGAGATATTGATAAGTTCCCAAAGTCTGAGTCAGAAGACAGTATCAGAAGGAAAAGCTTCCGCTTCTCCACAGAAGGAAGTCAACTGACATATGAAAAAAGGCTCACTTCTCCACATCAGGTACAGCACTTTATTTTACTAAGTCATGTGTGTTCACTCTACTTTTATTTTCCCTGATATTACAGCAGTTTTACATATTGGAGCTTATGTAAATGGTAAGTGAAGAAAAAATCAGTGGTAGTTCCATTCACAGGGTAAGTTTGAAATGGTTTGACTCATTCTATTAGCAAAGGGATGAAAACAACTTACCAAGAATACTTATAAACTTAATTAACACATTTCAGAAAATGTTTTTCGAGGATGGAGAGAGAAAGATTAGTATTCATATATATGCATTAATGAACCATACGTTCTCTATTCTGGATCCATTTCAAAACTATACAAATAGGTTTTTTGCAGTTTTTGGCAGATTGCAACATAAAAATATTCTGCATGGGAAATCCCACATTACCATTAATTTCTATTATTTTCCTTAATTAGCTTCTTTAATGTGAAGATAATGAGAAAAGTAGCACCAGTACTGCACAATAAGGACAAACTACACAGGGATCTTTTGGGCCTGTATATGTAACAATTCAGTCATACATTCCTTTTCACTAGGAATCAATTATACATGATGGAGAATCATGGCAATCGTAGGAAAAGAAGCAGTTTATGAAGGATCTGTGAAAATCATTTAATCCAAAATTCTAAGCTCTACTCCCATAAATCAAAGGGTCTCTTCTGTCACTTAAGGGTATGCGTTCTGTACTTAGCCACACCTTGAATCCTGCATCCAGTCTTGGGTGCCGCAGTACAAGACAGACATGGAGGTGCTAGAGCAGGTCCAGAAAAGGACTGGTGAAGGTCTAGAGAGTGAGTTATATGAGGAGAAGCTGAGGAAGCTGAGGGTGTTTAACCTAGAAAAGAAGAAGCTTAGGGGGCACCTTATCACTCCCTGAAAGAATGTGGCCAGGCAGAGGTCAGCCTTTTCTCCCAGGCAACCAGTGACAGGATAAGAGGAAGTAGCCTCAAGATGTGCCAGGGGAAATTCAGGCTGGATATCAGGAGGAATTCCTTCATGGAAAGGATTGTAAAAAATTGGAATGGACTACCCAGGGAGGTGGTGGAGTCATCATCCTTTGAAGTGTTCAAGAAATGACTGGACATAGCATTTAGTGCTATGGTTTAGCTGAAGAGGTGGTGATCAGTCAAAGCTTGGGCTTGAAGATCTTGGAGGTCTTTTCCAGCCTGATTCTGTGCTACTTTTGTTTATTTCAAGACTATACACAGTTGTGGCATTTATCTAAACCACTACACATTTTTATAAAAAATCACTCAAAATTCATCTCTTCAAAATGATAATGTGTGGTCTGAGCCAATAGATGACTTTTATATATGAATACCACCCAAGTTAGGAATAACTTATTAGTTAAAGATGCTCTTCATAATTTTTATTTTTTTTCAGTTGTAACAAAGCTTTGAGGCAAAGGTTGTCAGCATACAACTGAAACTTAGGTGCCACAAGAGCAGAAGAATTGCAAACAGTAGAATTGGTAAAGGAGGAGCTCATTTGTTTTGTTAGCCATGGAGAATCTCCCTGGTGAGACAGGTTCCAGAGAATGAAACAGTGAGGCAGAATGGTCAGGGGAGATAATCTGCTCAGTTGGGCCCTGTAAGAGGTTTTGTCCTTTGATACCATATTCCACATGCAGATGGATGATGCTGTTTGCCAGAGAAGTCAAACCTTCCTTTCAGTCCTTACTTTCCTGTAGCATGTAGACACATATATTTCTGCCTCTACATGTGTAAAAATTGCAGCCATTTTGGCTTATATCTTTTGTCTCAGTGCAGCAGGGACTTGCAGAACAGGCATTACTTCTCCCAAATCCCTGAGGGGGCTGATCCAATTAGCTGTGCTCAAAATGTGGCAACACATACTGGAAAGACTGGCCTGCAAATAACACATAGCAGCCATGGGAACATTCTCTAAAAGAACAAGGGTATCACTGGTAGTCAGATGAAACCCTGGTGAGCATGTAATTTTTTGAAGGACTGTAGGTTGGACAGATATATTTACAAGGAAATGTAGAAAGGGTGTACTAATTAGTTTACTGCTCTGTCAAAATTCAGTGTCATATTCCATAGAAGCTAGGGGTTTTTTTTTGAATAAAATTATCTTTCAGTAGAAGCAAAACAGCACTTTTTCTCCAGCCAAGTTTATATAAATGGGTTAGCAAAATCATTTGGCTGATATTTTTCAAGTAACTCAGCCTGGGGCTGACAGCCAGCATAGAAAATTTCAGCCCAAACTATTAAAATTTGGTATAGCTGTAAGAGTAGGAAAAAATACATCTCGTAATGGTAAACACCTGACAGGCCTTGTAAGAGGCAGTTCTACCAGTTCAGCACATATATAATGTGTGTGAATTTATATACAGAGGTACATATGTGTAGATATATGTATATATACAGTGTTTGGTTTTCAAATCATTAAAATAGGTTTATATAATATAGGACAGTTTTGACTTTCACTTTAATTATCCTGGGATCAAACTCATTGTTATTGCATATGAGGACTTTTCACCTTCAAAAATAGTGAAAAAGTGGCAATAGTCTCAAACTGGGTTTTTGATGAACCAAGATGTGAAGATTTGTGCAAATGCAGAGCTGAAAAAGGCTGAATGCTAGGTTACTTTTCTCCACAATTAGTACTTATTTTATTTATTCATGAATGCTGTTAATAAAATATGTAGCAAGGGAGAAGAACACTTCATTAACTGGCTTCTACTGTAATTAAAAGATGAATTACCAACAACCACTGATTTATTTTTCTCACTTGTAAGATAATATCTTTAGGTAACAGTGTCCCTGGTGAATACTTGCTTTGAGCTGCCCTATAACCAAGGGATACCTTTTGGTAGGTGTGTGCAACCTGCTATGGCCCCCAGAGCTCTATGCCTAAGAGTGCTGCTGCTGTACATCCAAAGCTTCCCCAGGCTGCCCCTTCTGCCTCCTAGTTATTGTTCCCACACTATTGAGCCTATTGGGAAGAGGTCAGTCAAGTTCCCTATATCATATATAATCCCTCTATATATATTTAGAGGGATTTCAATGGCAAACTTAAGATCACTTCTGAATCTACCAAAAAAACAGAAGAGTGATTGGCGAGCAATATTAGTTATTATCCAGCACAGTCCATGCCAGTTCAATGCACCTTTTTCACTCAGAACTGTTCAGCCTTACTTATGTCATCTGCCTAACTTTTCCTCAGTCTTGCTACATTACCTTAAAAGAATTTTTCCCCTCTGCTTCAGGTTACCTGGTAAACGCATTCCCCTAGTGGAAGAAAAAAAGTGACTATTCTTTGAAAAGCCAAGAACTTACAACTTTAGTTCTAATGCTGTTTTGTTTGGTCTGTTTTAAATCTTTTACAGTCTTTGTTAAGCATTCGTGGTTCTCTGTTCTCACCAAGGCGCAACAGCAAAACCAGCATTTTCAGTTTCAGAGGTCATGCAAAGGATATAGGATCAGAAAATGACTTTGCTGATGATGAACACAGCACTCTTGAAGACAATGAGAGCAGAAGAGATTCTCTCTTTGTTCCAAATCGACATGGAGAAAGGCGCAACAGTAACATTAGTCAAAGCAGTGTGTCATCTAGAGTGATTCCAGCCCTTCCAGTGAATGGGAAGATGCACAGCACCGTGGATTGCAATGGAGTGGTCTCCTTGGTTGGAGGGCCTTCAACTCTAACTTCTCCTACTGGTCAGCTTATGCCAGAGGTAATTGTAAGCAAGACAGTATTTACAGTTCAATTCAGGCACAGAATTTTCTCTTAGTCCTCATCTCTGTATTCCTTATAATTTCTTAAAGAAATAATTTGCAATAGTTTCTGAATAAGAGAACATAAAGAAAAAAGAGTCCTCAGCCTACTATGTCTAAACCTTAGGAAAGTATTATATTCTTCTTGCTTTCAGCAAGACATCTACACATAGAAAAAAAATTATTAATTTAATTTGACAATTTGTTTATAGTTTCACTTCAACAAAGGTAGATATTCAATGTATAAATAAGGCTATAGCTTAGAAATATGTATAGGAAAACTCCTATAAAATTAAACAGAAGATTGTTAGCACTCTCATGATAGTTATTAAAATATTCCTTTCTCAATTTTTCTCAGGGACTTTTTCTCATACCTTTAATGGGAAAAATTTGTACAATTCCTATGTACCTTTGAAATTGCATAACATTTTAGTCTCAGTTTCAAACTTCTGTAAGCTAAGATGCTCCTTCAAACACTCAAGCAAGCCTTATCCATACATTGTATTTTATATATTAGTATTACCATCATTATCAAGGAGGTACTGAGCAAAAATTTTGTTCAGCCAGTCATTTAAATGTGAACCACCTTTGGTCCCACACTGTGTTGATATTGGGCCCTCCAATTGATTATTTATAGCATTGTACAAAATTTTCACTGAGTTCCTCAAAGAAGAAATCCTGACAAGAATGGAAACATTCATTGAAAAGTGTAGTACATTGCACAAAGCCAATTTGATTATCCCTAAAATATTTATGCAGTAAATACTGTTATTTGTTCATTGAAAAGGATGGTCTAATTCCTCAGTATTTCATTTACAGGGCACCACTACAGAAACAGAAATAAGGAAAAGAAGACTGAGTTCATACCAAATTTCCATGGAAATGCTGGAAGAGTCTGCTGCAAGACAAAGGGCAATGAGCATAGCCAGCATACTTACAAATACAATGGAAGGTATTTGGTGCATTTTATCTGACGAGCAGTTCAGTGAAGTTCTGCTAACTACATGTACAGAGAAATTTACATGATTTCCTTTGTAAATGTAAAACTGGACATGTGGATTCTCTGAACATCAGATACAAAAGGCTTTTAAGCACTTCTAAGGTCATTTACACAATCTGAATGCTTAACCATGTTTCATGACACCTTCGAAAATATTATTCTACTGAGTGGACTAACAGAGAAAATAATAGTAGCTAGGGGATTGCCAGAGCCTCAAACAGAAAATAAAGGATTATTTTTTTGATTAGACATCATCAGGAAAAATCAATTAAGATAACCCAGGAATTGCCACGATAAAGGTGGTGCTGTGCTAAAGCAGTCATTTCCCTTAGGCTTTAAATCCAAGGATAGACAATAGGAAATTGGAATGAGAAATATAAAGGGGAAAAACCCAAATGTAATCAACCCATGACAATACCCACAAAGTGTTTAAAACATTTCTTAAATATTTGTAGCTATAAAAGATAAAAAAATATTGTATTTTCTTTGGGAAGAAGCATGCTTTTGGGGATATTTTTTTTGCCTATTTAATGGAAACTGAGTATGCTCATTCTCCATACATATGCCATTAAAGTATTTTTGTAAGCTTGAAGGATCTATCAACTGGATAGTGGAAAAGTGTGGCAGATGTTATAGTCAGACCAACCTTACAGATTCAACATATATTCTAAAAAGATAAGAAATTACCAAGAAACTTTACTGTGTTGCTAAGAGAGTATTGAAATATAATTTTAAAGTGAGTTCTGAAGCCCCTTGCTCTCAGATAAAAAAACAGATCACAAACTAATTGTAGTCAGAAATATAAGTCTTATATCCCCTATTTTCTTCTAAATAAAATAGTTCTCACAAACATCTATCTTTATTAATGCAAGTGTGAGCTGTTGGTACCTCTTAAATCGTGGTTCTCCTCTCTGTAAACAGGCTATTTCCTTAGAGAGTGCTGCATTCTTCCTCCAGTTAAATAGTTTGTCCTTCCAGTCTCCTGACCAAAAAAATAAAGCCATGGCAATGTAAACAAAGTTTTCCTGATAGTTCACCTCATTACCCACATCTGGTGTTTCCAATTTTAAATTTCTATGTGCAGCAACAGAATCTGTGTCAATTCAGCATCCAGTATGAGTGGTCACTTCTGTCCAAGGCCAGTCCTATTCTGCCTTTCAACATTCTGAGCTGCATGTTCAGAAATGTGATTATACCACCCAATCCATATATTCCTTCAGAAATACTGTCTCTGTTATGGTTTATAAAGACTATAGAAAGCTTTAGCTGCTTATGATAGCTTTTTCTGCCTGGAGAACTTGTTTGTTTCAGTAGTTTGAAAGCTTTTAACTTCCAGTAATTCCACCCATATCGGACAATATTAGATGCAGAAATCAATCCACTACCCTCAAAGTTTATATTTTTGCAGTAAATATTTATTAGCAAATCTGTGAAGCAGCTATTGTATCAAAATCATCCATAAGTGTCATTATGGTGGAGATCTCTCTGTGCTTTAAGGGATGCCTGAAAAATGGGAAATTTCAGACTTGGGTTGATGCCACTATGCAGAAATTTAATCAAAATTGTTGTGGACATTTCTTACATATTTTATTGTCTAAGTATTTCTCACTTGAGTAATCAACAATCTTCCTTCTACACTGTTGTCAAATATCCCATCACATTAGATATCCATCCTTGTTATTAACTTAGAAGAAGTTACTATTCTTGTGTAACTTTAACAATATTGACAGTGAAAAAGAAGAAAAAATACTTTCCAAAGATTCTAATTGAGAGCAATTGCTAAACAGTTGTTTTGCTAATACAGATTTATGTTTTTCTGTTTCTCAGTCAATAGACACTGCAACAGTACAAGACATTTTCAAAGCAAATTATAATTTAAAAATAATAAAATAGGCATGCAATATATTTAAAATATCATTTCAAAAAGGAAATTATAGACATGCACTCCAAATCATTTATCTGATATTGTAGTGGTTCAGTGTAGTAGCAAATATAATCCTTTTAGTATCTCAAATCAAAACAAGTACTCATGTTACATACCACAAAAAATGTGAATCCTTTATGAAGCTTATACCAAGTATATATAGTAGATCATTGATGAGTGAGTCCTGTTGACTTTTAATATCTGAAATTAAGATATCTGCTATAAGCAAGTCAAGTAACCTAAACTAAATATGCCTTACTTTAAGGTGGATAAACATCCACTTTAAGGTGGACCTTATGGTGGGTGAGGGAAATCTCATGTTCTTGAGAGCAATTTATTTGATTGATATAATCTTATTCCTTATTTTAAACAAAACTGCCAGAAGATACATTTGTAATATAAATTTTTTCTTTTTTTTTTTCAGAGCTTGAAGAATCCAGACAGAAATGCCCACCATGCTGGTACAGATTTGCAAATACTTTCTTGATCTGGGATTGCTGGAGTCCATGGTTAAAAGTAAAGCATGTCGTCAATTTAGTTGTGATGGATCCGTTTGTTGATCTTGCTATAACGATTTGCATTGTTTTAAACACCTTGTTTATGGCCATGGAGCATTACCCAATGACAGAACAGTTTAGCAGTGTCCTTTCTGTGGGGAATTTGGTAAGTAGTTTGTCATTTTTAGTATAAAAATACCCTTTTTTAAAGGTTTCTAGGAAGAAACTTATAAATGTATTGTATTTCTTTAAATCTATTTCAGAATGTCTTTTTATAATCATTTTAGAAATGGTATATATGATTTTCACAGATAAAGTGATTTTTTACTGGAGCCTTTATCTTTCACAAATGTATTTTTTAACGACTATAATGAAATAACTGAATATGTGTGGAAGTACAGTCTTCACTGGAATGCCAGATTTCTTGATGTCTACCTTGGGCTTTTTCTTTCAAATGTTAAGGTAGACTATGCTATTTTTACAATGGTACTGATATAACATCACAAAAAATATTTTTCTTCTGTACAAAATTGATTAAATATTTAAAGTCAGAATTTTTCTTGGATTTTTTTTTTTAATTACCCTGCAGTGAAAATACTTTTACAAAAAACGCATGCTCCCAAACTTTTTGTTGTGCTGCATGAACCACTAATCACTACGCAGTGCAAGAAAGTGTTGAGTTAGATTCTGGACTTAAAAACACTAAGATGCATTGATAATTTCACTTTTGGTGCTTGGAGATATTTCAAATAACATTATCATCCTGAAGTTCATTTTCCTAAAAGGAAATAGCTGTCACACAGCATGGCAACTATGTATGAACCCTCTATATTCTTATAAGAAGCACGGTACAAGAAACTCCAGCTTCCCCTGTCTACAAGACAGACTTTAGAGAGTCTATACTTAGACACTCTGACATTAGAGACTATCATCTCCTTAGACTGTAAGCTAGGAAAATACTTGCTGTCAAGTCTTCTTACTGGAACCATCCTCATCAAGCAGGACTTAAAGCACCAGGTCACATCACATCATCTGCTGGATGGATAGTCCAGCACATACCAGGGATCAGTTGATTGGTCAGTAACTTTTTAGATATTTATATATTTATCCTGATTTAATTACTTGTTTTCAGTGTTTAGAATTAGATGTCACTTGAAGATAGCAATCAGCTGTTTTTTTATAGTAACAGGTAAGAGAACTCATTGGATTAAGAAAAAATTACTTGGGTATATAAATGTCTCATAACAATTCATTTTGTTTTAGGTATTCACTGGAATATTTACAGCAGAAATGGTACTAAAGATTATTGCCATGGACCCTTATTATTATTTTCAAGAAGGCTGGAATATTTTTGATGGTATTATTGTTAGCCTTAGTTTAATGGAGCTTGGTCTTGCAAATGTTGAAGGATTATCTGTTCTTCGGTCATTCAGATTGGTAAATACCTTGATAATTAAATATTTGCATGCGATTGTCTCACTCAAAAAAATAAATGTGCTGGTGCCTATAATAATTACCATATTTTGTAAATACATATTACAAACTTCAATGACTCACATTATTTTTCATATGTGCCTAATTTGCAAGTCATGTTTGGTAAGCACAAATTTAAGGTATTTGATACCTTTTACTACCAAATTATCCAACTGATCTTCTATCCAACTTTGTCAACATAACATAAACTGCTACCTTTTAAGAATTCTGTGAATCTTTACACTGACTCCATCAAGAATAATAAAAGCTGTGAATACATGCATAGTGTCACCAGCACAAAGAATCATAACATTTTTCATCTTTACATTATGAACATTACTTTGTGTTACTTTTAAAGAACTTAAGCAGATCCTCTCTTCACATTTCTTTTAATGGGCACCAACAATAAACTTTTAGTCACTCCATTACATATAACAGAGTCATAACAAGCTGACTTTAAGATAACATTAAAATCAAAATATTATTGAGCTTCTACTAGAAATGTATTTTTTAATAACAATTAGTATTGTTCACCAACTAGTTTATAAATATGTTTACTAGAGGCACAAGATTAATGATTTAAAAGTCTTTATTACCAAATTAATGTGTTACCATATTACATGAAAACCTTATCTCCTAGTACATAGAGCAGGAAGAAGTGACTTATTTAGCACTACTTGCAGTGGTACCCAACTTCACATAATAGCTTGGGTAATTAATATTATTTTTAAGTTAGTGTTTAAAATTTGAATGGACATTACAATGTCTGCATCAAGTTTTGCTTAAAAAATTGGCCTCTAAGCATGGAAGGCTTAATGTAGTGCTGAGGGAAATGTGGAACCAAGCCAGCATAGAAGGTGTAGTGATGATGATGAAAAGAGTAGAAACTTCTAAAATATCTTTAAGAATTTTTCAGGAATCTGCAAGTGGACATTCAAAAACAGTAAAATAAAATACCATACAAACACAAATTATGTTTTTTTTTTTACTATGTGCATCACTGAAATGAAATGATAAACAATGCATTTTTGACAAATACTCAATGTTCCCTGCTTTACTTTAAAATAATAATGTGGTACTACTGAAGAACAAAGTCATCTACAGAAATTGGTTTACTCTGCTAAACAACTTGGACCGAACTTCTATTTCGTAACTAACACTAACGGTTCATATGCATTTTTGTTTTGCAGCTTCGAGTCTTCAAACTGGCAAAATCTTGGCCAACCCTAAATATGCTGATTAAGATTATTGGCAACTCAGTGGGGGCTCTGGGGAATCTGACCCTGGTGCTGGCCATCATCGTGTTCATTTTCGCTGTGGTTGGGATGCAGCTGTTTGGGAAAAGCTACAAGGAATGCGTCTGCAAGATCTCCAGCGACTGTGAACTTCCTCGCTGGCACATGCATGACTTTTTCCACTCTTTCCTGATTGTATTCCGAGTGCTGTGTGGAGAATGGATAGAAACAATGTGGGACTGCATGGAGGTTGCTGGCCAAACCATGTGCCTTATTGTTTTCATGCTGGTGATGGTGATTGGAAACCTAGTGGTACGTGATGAACATTTTTTTAACATTAACTGTGATGCAGATGACTCCAGGACTTACAGCTAGGCAATGAAAATATTTGTCAACCTTCTGTTCAGAATTAAAAAATTAATCTGAATGTGCTAAATTTGGGGTAAAAACACATGAAGATTTCCTTTTCCTCTTTTTTACACATTTCTATACACTGAAGTACTCTTACTGTGGGTAATTTAGAAGGAAACTAAAACGTCAAATCCAACATCCTATCGTGGAAGTGCTGCAGCTAATTTAGAGGTGCTGTTTAATTTCTAGTACTGAACTTTTTGGATTGTTTATATGTAAAAAACAAAAATGTAACCCAGAGTGATTCACCATCTGGCTTAAAAAGGTGTTAAAAAGCTTCTAACTCAAGATTGTACAAGGAACCTTTATAGAAAACTTTAAATTCAAGCTGACAAGTTAAAATGCAAAATTTCAATTGGAAAAGATTGAATTGATGAGAACTTCCTAGAAATAAATATTATAAAAGGGATGCACCATTTACACTTTGACTTTATTTTTAAGTTTATTTTTCTATTAAAATTTGCAGTCAAAATTTTCTGTCAAAATTCTCTTCCTTTAGTGATATTTTTAACATTATTTAAATTTTTATAAAATAAAATTCAAAATGTTTGTCTCTTAGTCATTTACCTGACCTTGCAATCTTGATATTTTACCAGCAAAAATATGCAGAACCCCAAAAAGTTATTTTTGATCTGCAACCTGCTCTTCTGATTTTTTTAGAATCATGAAATCATTTATATTGGAAAAGGCCTTTGAGATCATCATGTAGAACTGTTAACCTAGCACTGCCAAATTTAACACTTCTGATATGATTGTATTTACTATATAGCTGTATTCTCTCATTTTTTAGGTATTGAACCTATTTCTGGCCTTGCTGCTGAGCTCTTTTAGTTCAGACAACCTTGCTGCTACAGACGATGATAACTGTGGCAAGGATTCAGAAAGGCATAGATTATGTTAAAAAAAAGATACAGGAGTTCATCCGAAAAGCCTTCGTTAGAAAGCAGAAGTCTTTAGAGGAAATCAAAGCACTTGAAGAGCTAAACAACAAGAAAGACAGCTGCATTTCCAATCACACTGCTGTTGAAATAAGCAAAGATCTGAATTACCTTAAAGATGGGAATGGAACCACCAGTGGTGTAGGCACAGGCAGCAGTGTGGAAAAATATGTAATTGATGAAAACGATTACATGTCATTCATAAACAACCCAGGCCTCACTGTGACAGTGCCCATCGCACTTGGAGAATCAGATTTTGAAAATTTAAATACAGAGGAATTTAGCAGCGAATCTGATATGGAAGAAAGCAAACAGGTAGGATTTTTTATATCTTAACTATTAAATTGTAGACATACATTTACATATTTTAATTACATACTTAGAATTTTTTAAAAACTGTAATATCCCGTGTAAATATATTTTCTGATTTAGAATTTTATGTATTGCCTGCTATTCAAAAAACAATATCATGGTATAGTAGAAGATTGTTAGAATTTACATTTTTAGTATTTCAGTTATTAAAATTTAGAAGTTATTTGATTTTAAATGTGATTATTTCTTTCATGACTTTATGAGGTTTTAGAACTAGTAAACACTTGATAAAGAACTCTTTCTGTGCTACTTACATGTGATAAGAATTTATGGAATAAGGGTAGGAGGATAAGAAACAATTAAGGAGCTTTGTATACCAAAGCAAACGTAAGTGGAGAAAAAACATTTCTTTCAATATTTAGAGTAGTTTTGAAAATTAACCCTGAGACATCACAAATCAGAAATGTATTCTAGATGATCTAAAAAGTTTTGTGAGTAATATTTGTACAGACTTTGGGTTCAGAGACTATGGCTGACTGAAATAAAGTAATCTAGTCACCAATGAATGTCACAGTAGGCAGCAGCTCAAGTTATCCTGGAGAACAGGATGACCTTGTAGTATAGATGCATACAGAAACAGCTTACTTAAAGGCTTTATGCTGTTATTACTGTGCAAAGTGACAGAAATTGGTCTAAAAAAACCAATTCCATGTGTTTCAAACTCTAAGTGGCTCAAATACCAGAACCTGAACAGGTGCTAATTGTACTCAAGGAAAACTTTGTATATTGGGGTAGTGATCAAAGAGAAGCTAATAAATGCATTAGCAGAATATAATTATATTCAGTGCCATTAGAAATTTTGGAACTTTGAGGTTTAAGGGATCAAGAACCATGGATAAATTTGTTTTCAATTAGATTAGAAACTGTGATGTTATGTAGTAACTCATCAATCCAAAAGGGTTTGTTTACCATGAAGAAAGCTGTCCTATAAAGAAGCCCTGCATTCATGACTTTATCATAACTGTGTGTCTGGCAAATTTGCAATAATGATGTATTCCTCAGCAATATCAATCTACACCATATTACATTAAGGCATAGCCATGATCATGCTATGGGGTTTTTGCTAAAGAGCATCAAGAGTGTGTGTTTATTTGCAGCTGCAAAAAATGCTGCTCTGTGTAATAATTGTTACGATGAAGAGCAAGATATTTTATCATCTGAGTTTCTCAGTTATGAGACAAAGTTTCAATCCAGATGTAGAGGACAGTATAGCAGTAGTGCTTATCCATGGTAAATTTAGAATGTAAAAGATACAGGAAGTGTGAAGCAATTGTAAATTAAAAGTATTAAAAAAGCCCCAAAACTTTCAGGGTGATTCTGGGTCTGAGAGTTAAGCATTTTTCATATAAGCTGACCTAAGAAAAGTTGGTTTTAATTTCCAATGAACCTGTATCAAATTCTTATATGTCTTTTCATATATTCTGTTTGGTTTTTTTTAAATGACATTACACTATATATCTTCTGCTGTCCTTGTGGCTAACTTTGATAAATACTATTATGAGTGCCTTCCTATTAAATCTCTTCAGTTACAAGCCTAAAAGGTTGCTGAATATGTTACTTTTTAAAAGGTTTGTAATATGCATTAGGAAGCTGGGGGGACTGTGCAGATACTGAATTTGTGGTTACATGACATGTTAGCCTCTGCACTAATGGAACTTGGGAAGTTCCCATCCACTCCTGGCTAGTGATCCCCTGGCAGCCTTTGCCACTTTCTCTGCCTCAGAGAAGGCAGGTGACTGGTTGTGCCACAGGTATTATTGGTTTATTTCTCCTGCAAGGTAGATTGAAAGGCTCAGTTTACAGCATACTGCCGTATATTCTATCAGAACATCTGAGGAATATGATGTATGTACACCCCTAGAAAATGGAGTAAAAGCCCTTTCTGATGTGCTGACAAGTTCTGAATACCAATTTCCAGGTGATTTTCACAAGTCAATTGCTCTGTTCAGCCCCAGCTTTGCCTGGTTGAGGCATCATGCCTTTATTTTCTAAGGCCATCCTGAAGTTTCTGGGCAGTAATAAATCAAAAGGGATTTTTCCCTTTTTAAAATGGACCAGTATCTATATGTCTCCAGGACATATAATAAACTAATGAACAAAGCAATTTGATTAATAAGCTAATAATACTAATACACTAATAAACAAGCAATTTGACAGTGAAAATTTCAGGTGGCTGTGGGAAATCCAGCAGTAAATGATGAATGGTATTTATATGAAGAAATTGTGGTGAAATTTTCAAAGGGGTTAAAATAGGTTTAGGATTTCCATGCTGCTTCAGTATTTTTGTAGACTGTAGTAGTCAATACCATCGGTAAACTGGAGCAATACTATTTCTATACAGTTCTGCTCACACACAAGTTTATTGTTCAGCTGTCTGACATGTATTCATACAGTGCAAATGTGCATATTGTGAACAGTATCTAATCAGACAGTATTCTGAAAATTGTGAATTCTATATTAATTTCACTTTCTGCTCTGGATTCCTTATTCCGTTCCTTCTGGATGATTTCTATGGAAAGAATCAAGTGGGGTTATTTTACTGTGTGTGTAAAAATCCACTGGCTTTTGGAATATAGGAACAGTTCTGGCGTGTGACAGGAATTTGTGAAGTTTCCCAGTCTTCTCCTACCAAAACAACAGTACTGTTGAATCTTTTGCTGCCTTCTGATTGTCTTTAAAGGAAGATAAAGAGTACATTGGTGCAGTGTTTAAAAGTTACCTCTATAGAACAGTACACCATCACTTGCTTTGTTTTGCCTCTCAAGGGGTCCCACTGAGAAAACATTCCTGCTAGAAGGCCTGGTCTGCAAAAGGAGGGGTAAGAGATGGGGCAGCACTTTCCCTGCCTTATCTGTGGCAGTACCTTGCACTTAAAATACCCTGAGGAGGTATCCCCTAAGATTTTATTTAACCACAGAGCTGTGGGAAGCTAGATCTGCACAAGGAGCTGTAAAATGAGTATTTTTTTTTCTGGCTTCTTACTGACTTTCACTGATGTTAAGAGCAGAATGATTATTTGAAGTCTATCATGCTAGAAGTGGGGCATGGCCTGTGTTTCCCTGAGGAATATAGCCATAGCAGGTAATTACTATAGACATTGTAATTGGGGGTGAGTGAGGAATGAAATTTAATATTTCCTATTTTTTTTATCAGATATGCTATAGTAGAAAAGAACTCTAGCCATCAAGCTTCTTTTGGAAGGCTAGGTCTTTTTTTATCTTTTTTTTTTCCCCTTTCAATCTTCCATGAAAATACTTTCTAATTAATTTGCTAGATAATAACTTCCAAAATCTGCCAGAACCTATTCTGCAACCTGACTGCAAATTCCAGACCTAAACAAGATCTTTCTACTACATATCACTAGAAATTTGAGGAAATCTCTTTTTGGGTGAAATGGAAAGATAACACTTATTAGATTATAATGTTACTCACTGCTTTAGAGAAATAATTGGCTGAAAGTAACTTCAAGAAGTGAATATTTCATTGATACTTTGAAGGAGGATTTTTTTTTAATAATCAGAAAAGAGAGGTGCAATACATAATGAGATAATCATTAGAAAAGAAACAGATTTCTGCTTTGAAAAAGATACTCAAGATCATTAGCTTTGAAGATAAAAAAAATTAGAAATAGCTGAAGGGGATCATTTGGTGGGTTTTAACATTAGCATTAGTGGATGCTGTTTCTGTTGTGAAATGAGTAACTATGTTAATCTTTCCAAACATAAGACTCCTGACTATTGTATATAGTATACCACTTAACAACTGTTCATTACAGCTGATTGCCTTTATAAATATAGTTTTGCATTTCAACATGGGAAAATAATTTCAAACATATTTCACAGTTAGGGAAAACTTATTATACAACTAAAGAAATAGATATACCTACAGGTCTCAATCACTCACAGTTCCAAAAACTTTTCTATCTACAGTGTATGTACAGTAAATACAAATTCAGATTGGAGAAATAAGGCTATTCAATTGACTTTTGATGATCACAACGGATGATTTTGATAAAATTTAAAAAATCCTACATCAGCAAATCTACTGAATTTTAAAAATAGTGAAGAAATTCAGTTTTTCTGATTGGCTTCATCAGGGCCCTTGTGTCTAGATGAAGTGAAAAATACAACAGAGTTATTGCGTTCCCAAAAGATAAGCATTTTTATTGGGCTCCAATAAATTTCTTAGCCAAAATAGACTCAGCAGGATTTCATCAATTTGCTGGATGATTTTGTTTCATGCTTAAAATATCCAACAATCTAAATTTTTTTTCTAAAACTGACCAGCTCTGGGACAGTATCTTCAGAAGTGACAAATTATTTAATTTATGGAATAGCTGTGGTTAATGATTTCAACCATATCTCCTGATACACTGATGCTCCACTGTCCAGGCACTGATACAATCCTCTTCTGAAACAACAAGATAAAGATTAGAGATTCAGAAGTGTATAGCATACTAAATCTAAACTAGAAACTTAAACAATGTGATAATTCATCACATTTAAGTTAAGATAAATTAAAGATGTTTATTTTTATCAAGATCTAGGTGTACTACCATTATTAGAGGATGAAGAAGGAATGGGAAAGCACACATCTTCAAAGTATTTTGCTTCCTGTATGTACATGTTTTTTTCAAATAAAAAAGATAATCACATAGCCAGTTAAACAAAGACTAGGAAATGAAGCAAACAAACAAGACTCTTAAAATTTTAATTAATAATCATTAAGGACTATATAAATACAGGAATAGTTTCCAGATTTGCTAACCATGTCTTTATTAATTTTATTAATTCCATTTTTATTTATGAATCACAATTTTTGTGTGCAGATTGCTAGTTCTAGCTTCTATATCTCTAATTTATTTAAAATAAACTAAAAAACTCTGTAGAAAAGTTTGTTGAACATTTCAGTTGGTTTGTATTTCCCTTTTTCCAGCTAATAATAAAATATTTAATAATTATGTTTTAATTGTGTTAAAGCCGTGTTTGAATTAGAGATTCCAAAAAGAGAAAAACTAGTGATCCTGTGTCTTGAACTTCACTACCTACCATTCTTACTTCTCACAGGGGTAAAACCAAGCTGGAGCAATCAAGAATGCAGCTCTGGTGCTTTTTAACCAGGTAGAGCAACGTGTCACCACTTTCACACAGGTTACCTAAGCAAGTTATACATATATATGTATATATATATATAATCACTTTTTAATGGATTTTGACTGGCCTGCATGCTATTCAGCTATGTACCTTCCCTATCCATTGCAAGAGTAGAAACATGCACAGCTTCTCTCTGCTGAGTCACGGGACTCACATCACAGCATGGTCAGGTGGGATTGGCAAACCCAACATTTTTTAACTCCGCTAATGGTATTTCTGAATATTTAAATACAGTATTTAGCAATAACTGCATGCTCTTCAGGTTTTGAAGTATGGATCATAAAAGTACTGGAATGTTTTATGCTAAAGAAGCCAAAGAAAAAGGGAGCATGCATAGTTTTTAAAAAATAAAAACAACCCTTTTTGATTCAGCCCTTATAAATGTAAATAATTAATGATATGTGTTAAGTGATTTTGAAATAATTACTGCCATGAGTTCAACTCCTTAATGAACAACATTTGAATTATTGCAGCAGCTACTGGTGTAAAAATTACAGTTATACTTTTAAATCTACAATGCACTGTAATGCAGATCTTCAAGATGCTACAAACCGCACTCTATATTCATTTGGACAGTGCATATCTTGAGTTTTATAAACTGGAAGCAAAGCAAACAGTTTCATAATTGCTAAAATTATGCTTAACAAATAGCTCTCCTTAAAGAGCCAAACATTTTACAGCTCTTCTTTTCTTAAACCCCTTTATAAATAGTGGTGTTTGGAATGTATTTCACAATAACATTCTGTAAATGAGTTGGGGGACTTACTTGTGTAAATTAGAAACACTACAAAGTAGTCAGCATCATTTTTATAAACTGCACGTATATTTATTTATGTTAGGGATTTTCTTCATTACAGGCAAACTTGCTCTCCATTGATGAGCAATTGGCAGAGTCTTCAGGAATACTGACAGCTATTATTGCACAGGAGCCAAAGTTACATGAAGCTAAAGAGGTTAAATTATTCTAGTAAAACTAGGCATCAAAATTTGGAGGGGATTGAGGTTTCAGTCCTCAGACTGAATGGAAAAGGAACAGAAAAGCTGTTTCCTTCAGGCAGTTTCACTGGCTTCAAAAGGATCACCAAATAGTTCATTTTATACCCTTGAGTATATTGTGGCATGATTTACGTATATTGTATTGTGGTTTAAATTGTCCAGTGATGCCAAAAAAAAATAATATTGGTGGGTATTCTGTGAGAATTCTCAGATTTTAATGAATATTTTTTTAACCAAGATATGCTTCAAACACCAAATAAAACTCTAAGGAAAGAGATTTTAAAATTACATTATTAACATTATATGAAAGTCAAATATCGTAAGATCTGAGATTTAAAGTCAGTTTAGAATCCCTTTGGAATCATCAATCTCCATTATTTTATATTTTTCTCATTCAATTACAGTGCAGCTTTCAAGATTGAAAGGATAAAACCACATGGCTGAATTACTAAAGGCAATTTGTAATGGCTGAATCCTTTTATTTTGTCACTTGAATCATGAAGCCGTTTGTAAAGCTTAAAACTTCAGTAGCCTGCTCTTGCTCTTATTGAAATCTAGAACAGAATCAAATGAGAGCAAGACTGGGTCTTAAGTGAATGCATTTTCTTGTAAATGGGCACATTAACACGCTGTTGGTCAAAGCTTGTTTTAATGATCGAAGCTGTTGATAAGAGATGCACTGCTCTGAAAGAATATTATGGAGGCTGATTAAACATACATTAACCAAGTATTTGGGTGGGTGATGAAGCTTTTTTTCATTTATATTCTACATAATAATATTTATAATACTGTTTTCAGTAAAATATAATTCCATTGAGATAGTCTGATTGTTTCTTTTATTTTTGTGTGTGATTTGGACAGTATTGCTCAGGCTTCTGCTCTAGTGAAGCATGTTGTTTTGCTGATTCAGGCCTTGAGAATGCTGCATCATAAGCAATTGCTTTCAAATGTTTCCTTATAAAGGAAAATGTGATATCATTGAAGATGCAAATATATATTTACAGGGCATGGTGTGTTCTAGAGGTTGATAATTACATTTATGAGCTGATAAGAAGATTGATTGTGCTAATCCATCGTGTATCTCAAGCTTCCTATTAGTTTTATTAGCTTTATTGCTAGAAAGAATATCATTAATGTCACCTTATTTAAAATGTATTGGTTCTTTCCTAATTTAGGGTCTTGAAGCAAAGAAGAGGAGTTTTATTAAGTAATGACGTTTTTCTCTTAATAATGCAGTTGTTTGATAGTATATGAAAAATAGTGAAGTCAATGCTTTATGTGAACATTACTGGAAAGAATTATAGTAGTTTTTGTTTGAACTGGTTATAAATTGCACTTCTGTCACTTGACTTCTAGCAGCCATGCTGACAGAACTATCTGCAGCAGAGTTTACATGGGAAGATGCAGTTAAAAATTTGACTGCCTTTTAATTTGCACTCATAGATTTATAATGGATGCTTACTATGAATCTTTATCTCGCTTCTATTAAGTCAGTAATTTATTTAATGATGATGGATCAGACCATGAATTAGTTTTACTTTTTCTAAGTTGAATGTGACAGAAAATTATTTTTACAATATTTGGGTTTTATTTAATGAAGAAACTGCCTGTCATTTCAATGCAAGGTTTCTTATTTCTTGGTATTTCAATGATATATAATAAGAGAGTTAATTCACAAGTTTTATTTTTAAAAGCAAGGCAGCCTTATGTGTGGACAATAAGGTGCTCTGCTAATAATGTGTAATACGGTGTACATCACTGGGTATTTTGGTTGTAGTTGTAATAGAGAAAGTGAAATTTAAAACATTCTCACAATGAGATACACAGTATTTTATCTCAGGCTCACAGATTTACATGACCAGTAATAAAATTATTCCATTTAGAGGCAACATGGCTGTAGGTATTTTACATATATAAATTTTGGAAATCAGAGGAAGTGCAGTATGACAAGTGAACCACAATATTTTTGGTTACAATTAGTAACAACCATGGGACCTGAGGTCTGAGAGACTCTACATTGACTACATATTGTGTGTACGAAAGGCAGCTTCTTGAAAATTACACCTGAAATTATCCATCATTCAGCATGATTTTTGTTTAAAACTTCATTCATACCATGTAAAAGTTAAATATGAGGAAATAATTCCTTACAAAGCTGTATTAAGAGATATGTGCCACTTCATTTCTGGCAGAAAAAGCCTTTAGCTGCCAATACATTTTCTTGAAGAGACTGAGTTTCAACAGAAGAGTTAAGTAATTAATTTTAATTTTCAGCAGTCTCTCTGAAGAAGAGGAGAATACATGGAAGTGCCTCTTTCAAGAAACAATTTACTGTTTATTATTTGTTGCAAAATCTGAACAGTAGGGGATTTTTATATTCTAAAAATGTTACTGTCTTGAAAACGAAATGTGAATAGTTGATATTAAGTACCGTCTCAGCAAAATTGTATAGAAAAGTCTTCCTGCTTTCTAAACATGACCTTCCTCCAAAGGTCAAAAGACAGTTCTGCTTAGCTAAAAGCACAAATATACTCAGTGCTGGAATTCCCTTTTGTTACATCAGTACCTGTACAATTTAAAGTATTTAAGTGAGACATGCATTCTTCATTCCTTGTGAAATTCCTATGTACAACTGCTATGTATGATAAATCAGAAGAATTTCAGCGCCACGACTTCTTTAATGTTGCTTTCTGATTACAAGACTTATTTCACAGTAAAAGAGGAAGAATTTTGGATGAAAAAATTACAAGAGTACAGCAGTACTGTCAACTGAAAACAAGTTACAAACACTATGTCTGATTATTGCATTTGTTGTTTGCATCTTTAGCAAGATATTCCTTTCAAAGTATGCTTTCTTAAAAGGGCAAAATCACGGGCAGTCTTGCGTGACTGATAAATTGTATGACCTGATCAGATTTTTAATGTAATTGGTAAAAATTTTCTTAATTTATTTTCAATCACTCTCCAGTTCTTGTGGTTTTCAGACCTAGAAGTGCTTTTATTGTAGTAAGGACTATAGTATTCCACTGCACAAAAAAGCAGTAGAATAACAGAGAAAATTGGGATGGAAAGTACATCAGGAGGTCTCTCAATAAGCACAGGAGACCAGAATGCAAAGAAGATGTTTCAGCTCTGGTAATTTGTGCTTTCTGCAAAAGTTAAATTGTGCAGAAATTTGCTATTAAATGCTGTTAAACTTACAGCATTTTAATCCAGATAACATGTGTTTTACCATACCATACGTAGTGGACAAGAAGATAAATGTGCAGATTTTTGTTAGTTCATTTTGCTAGGAAAACTAAGACACATTTTCCATGTAATCAAGCATGATAGTAAAGAAAATGAAATAACCTGAGAGTGAGGTGCATGCAAGCTCTCCAGTATTAATACTACTCAGAATACTTCACCAGTCATATACATGGATCAGGTTAGTAGCCAAATTGTATTTAATTATTCCCTATAAGAAGGTATACTGGGAAACAGAACTATAAAATTTACATGTCGTTACTGTGGTTTTACTTTTAATGATGCATATTTATAAATTTGCCTTTCTTTGAAAGTTAGACTGGCATGATTTGATTCAGACCATATTTTACAGAATATGTATCTAATGAGAAAAAATTTTTCTGTGGAACTTTGCTTACAGAAACTAAATGCATCAAGCTCATCAGAAGGCAGCACTGTTGATATTGCTCCTCCTGGAGAGGGCGAGCAAGCAGAAATTGAAAGTGAAGAAGCTCTTGAACCAGAAGCCTGTTTTACTGAAGGTTGTAGAATAACTGTTGACTTAAGAGATGTACTACTAAAATGACATTGTTATTAGGCATATTTAGGTTCTTGAGGGTTTCAAATATGGTGTATCTTCATGTCCTCATAAATCAAAACAAAATATTTTTAGCCCAGAATGCTGGAAATTAGCTGGAAATGAAAAAACAAGGTTTCCCTAGGCTTTGAGTAACTTCATATACCCGGTCGCTGCATACAGCTTGTAACAAAGAAACTTCCTTAACTTTTCTATTGGTAAAATGCTTTTCAGCTATTTGAAAGGGCCCTTGAAATTTGGAAAAAATAAATTTTTGTGTGACTCCATCAACAAATAGAACAGATAGATGCCAATAGCCAAAAATATTGATGTTTTTGGATTGACTTATTTCATAATTAAGTATACTATGTATCTAGTTTCTCTCCAGATTAGTTTTCTTAATTCCAATAGTCATCATCCTGTGTGATGTGATAGCCTATTGAGCATTTCAGTGATTGCTTTTTTAAAAATCTTATGAAATTGGTAAAAGCCAACAATAATACATACCACAGTAAATATTGACTTCGAAGTAATTGACTTTGGGATAGTAACTTCTCTTAATCTAATGCAGGTTGTGTGCAGAAATTTCCATGTTGTCAAGTAAGTATAGAAGATGGCAAAGGAAAAACTTGGTGGAATCTTAGAAAAACCTGCTACAGCATAGTTGAACACAACTGGTTTGAGACTTTCATTGTATTCATGATTCTCCTCAGCAGTGGAGCACTAGTAAGTAGAACAAAATTGCAGATGCTGAAATATTTCAATGTCTCTTAGGAGCAACAGCAAAAATCAAATTTGTTTCAGAAAGACTTGCTTTTCTTGGAGCTGTATAAATCTCGCTGCATTTCATCATTCCAGGATGGAATGATACTTGACCCAAACTTGAAAAATACATTTGATACATTTCATATGCACTTTTTCAGTCATCCTTTTGCCTTGCTGCTATAAAATGGTGCCATTTTCTTTAAAACAGCATAGCTACTCAAAGTTTAAATTGCCTGCCAATTTTCAGCATGCTTGTCAAGAGATTTGAGTATAAAGAACTATTGTTAACTATGAATATATATAGCTAAGTATATGGGTTTAAGTCTTTAATTCCTCCTAGACTGATCCATTTTTTAATTTTGCTTGTGAAAGACCATGCTTAAAAAATGGAATAATTACTTCATTCTATTCCTATTTTGAAGGCAGTAAAATATGGAAGAGTGCAGCAGCAAATTAAACATAACAACCAGTATCCAAAATGATTTGCATTACCCACCTTCCCAGCTTTCCTCAAGCTGCACATTTGTTACAATTTCAGTGTGCATAGTTGTACATTCTAGCAAATGCATTGCTTTTTGATTTGATTTTTTAGACATAAGTTTGATCTAACTGCTTTATAGAAAACAATATAAATATCTGGAACAGAAGTATAAGAAAAAGGGGGTTTTGTGTCTATGTGAAAATTTCTTAATACCACAGAGGATAAAAAAATCATGCTGTAACTTTCTTCATTCATTAGTAAAATAGAATTTTTTTAAAAATTTTTTTTCAACTCCAGACAGGTCTTCTGTTGTTCCAATTAATAGCATGGCTAAAGATGAAAAACATATAAAGTAAGAGAATGAAGAAAAACAAGGGGAAATATTAGCTCTGCTCTAATTTTTTTTTTATTCTTTATTCCTTAATTTTATCATGCATATTTTGTGAAACAGTAGTAATACCTGAATGTGTTTTTATAGGCTTTTGAAGATATATATATTGAACAACGCAAAACTATCAAGACCATGCTAGAATATGCTGACAAAGTTTTTACATATATTTTCATTTTGGAAATGCTTTTAAAATGGGTAGCATATGGTTTTCAAATATATTTTACAAATGCCTGGTGCTGGCTGGACTTCCTGATTGTTGATGTAAGTACAAATTAATATTGTAGAATTCCCTATGGTAAAGTTTTTGTGTTGTAAAATTCATTAGAACTAGAATAATATTATAAATGTGCAAAATTAATTCCCTTTTTATAGTTATACTGCACTAGTAATGGCCTGCAGTGATTTGGAGGGGTCATTTAAAGTCCATTCATATGCCAAAAGTGAAAGGATGGCTGCCTATCAGTTTGTCCATTCTTCATGGTTAATACTTTTATACAAAGGATGTATCAAACTTGAGTTTTCTGAGGAAAAAACCTAGTTTTTAAGCATGCTTTCTATCATTAACAGACTTTGACAGGCTACCTTATTCCTTAGAAAATAAGGCAGTTCATTGTTCGAGTTTCTTCTTCGAACACTGCAGCTTTTCAAATGAAACAATTCATTTGGTCCAGATTTCATCTAAGTTATCAGAACTCTCTCACTGAAAACTATCCTGTAATCATTTCTAGTAAAAACAGAAAGACAGTAGATATTTGATCTAAAAAAATAATTGGTTTTAATGGACTGACAATCTGCAATAGCTAAATCATCTATGACGTGGCAGGGTTTATGATAGAGGAGAATACAAGGTTTCTTGGCTGCCTTCCCAGCTGTGATACACTACTGTGCAAAGGCCTTGCTTATGTTGTCAGAAGAGATCAAAGCTGGTTTTGCTCCCAGAATATTTTGGTCTCTTGCCTCACACATTATCTGACCCAGTTCATTGGCTATACTTGTCCTCAGTGTAGAGCTGAGAGATGGCATCCCAAGGCAATTGTGCATTTATAGTAATTTCTGCACATGCTAACATACTTGAGATATTTGCATAAATTCTGGTCTCATCAATACTTATTCCATATGTATATAGAAATTTATCATATTTGTAACTCCCACAGGAAAAAAAACCTCTCTCTAGATTGGCCCATAATTCAAAATGGACTATCTTTTTTTTCTAACCCTCCTGAGTTAGTTTTGTAATACAGTTCATCTCTAGCTCTGTCCTGAAAATCTACACTAGAATGAAGCAGAGTGAATGGTTTTCCTAAGAGGATGTTAATGAAGTAGAGAGATACACTCTTATAGGATTGCGTTAAAAATTGATTTTTTTTTTTAAGATAAACTAAAACTCATATTTTAATTATTCTTTTTGCATCTTAAACCTAACCAGATTATTTTAAGCTATACTCCATGGTTTCCTAGTTTAGCCTCAGAGATGTTGTTATCTGAGTAGGCTTTAAAACTTAAAAATACATCATTATAAGTAGATCAGCTTATGTTGCTAACTTTTTGCCATAGTTTCTAATTCTATAAAAACATGAATGAACGAGATTGGAACTTTCTCCTTTTGAAGAATTATTTTCAGTGTTCTAGCAAGAGGTAAAAAATTCCTTACTGTGTTTACGGCTAACTCTGCAATCTCTTTAGCACCACCAGGACTTGAAAGAAACGTGAGTTCATGTTATCTTCCTATAGAAAAGCAGACTCTGCACTGCTTTAACTGACACTTGAAACAGGTGTGAAGCAGTGGCATTCTGCCAGTGAGAACACCAATGTCTCCTTCATTAGAAGTGACTGAAGTTAATCAGATTGTTTAATTCCATTCTCTAAAATTATTCAGGAGTCAACACATATAGTCCTTTAGGGCATTGACCTTTAATATCTCACATACCTGAGTCTCTCACTGTGACAAGTAGCCATAGTTTCTCTTACTGATTGTGAATAAATTAGATTTTGATAATTACACTAAGAAATAGTAATTTTCAGCTCTGTCACAACTAAGACAGATGACCCTTGGTACATTTGCCTACCTCAGTTTAAGATTCTATCATGTCATCCTTCTGTATGGCCTGACTGAAGATCTTGAGCAGGGCTCTCACTCCTAAGCTTCTAAAATTTTTTTGGAACAGATAGTCTATATTAGAAGACAAATGAGGACATAAAATCATTCAGTTCTAGGTGATATATCTTTCTACCATTTTGAGTTCATGTTCATTTCTTAAAATTACTGCATCTGCATACATTAATCTATTTATCAGTGTACAGGGACATTTACTTTCTCACATAATAGCAACTATACAGGTGGAACGGATGAGAGAAGACCAAGTTAACAAGACTGAGATCACCAGAGAAGTACAGAACAGCCGTATATACAATAGAATTCCAAGCAAAACTTTGCATCCCATATGAACTGTCCAGAGGAAAACACATTTTTTCCAATAGATAAAGTATTTCTTTAAGAAAAAAACTTATGGTCTTTATGGTGTAAGAGCACTTCCACCATGGTAAGAAAGCTGCCAATTATCTGAAATAGGCAGAACAAATAAAACTGAAGAATTTTACAGTTAGAACCTAAGAACAGTCAATACACTCAGTGCCACTGAAGGCTTTCAGGAGTTGCTGCCACCTTACATTTTGGAAGGGCTCTTGTTTGTGAAGAATAGGTAAGGCACACTGCAAATTTGGGGAGAAAAGTATAAAATGAAGGAGCCATTAATGTGAGTTCAACTTCATACGACACTTCACTCTCCCAGTGAGAGAGATATTTTTTAAATTATTTGTTTCACTGTTTATTTTTAATTCATAAAATGTGCTGCCTTTACACCAAGGGTTATTGTTATGCCTGGGTATCTTGTTGATTTGTGTGAATAAATGAATATTCTATTCAAAACACAGAAAATCCTATGTCGTGTTAGCTCAGGAACATATTATGGGTGGCTAAGGATAACAAAGAGCTATCTCACTGTAACATCACTGGAAAAATAAATTTTATTAAAGATAATTAATGTCAATAGTAAATGTAATGTTGGAAACATAATGTTATCTCTTGTAAGTGAACAGACTTCCATTACAAACCAAGAAAATCAGTAAGATTTCCTTCTTAATATTCTTATAAATCACAGCAAGTTTCATTTATCCATTAGAGCAATAACTCTTTCCTTTGAAAAAAGAGTTAAATTCTGACATGAAATCCAGTTGAAATGTCCAGAAATATGAATTCACTAAAAATTCACTAGTTTCTGTTGTTATATATCATAGCAACATAACAATGAATAATTTATTTGTATTTGCTCCTGGACTGTCCTTCTTAGGATCTTGTAACTTTGTGACTTGCCAGGCAAGTGAGAAAATTCCATCTCTTTCAATACATATTTCAGTGATATCCTGGTTATTGTTGATATGAAATGTTTCATTCAGAACTAATATTTATAAAAATATTTGTAATTAGCTACTAAAATAGTTATATCATTAGTGTTTGTAGATATTCAAAATATTGAGAGAAGTTAATAATTTAATGTATTCAGAATTTTGAATTGTTTGAAAGGTTGAATCTTAATGAAGTTACAGAAAGTGTGGCTATTTTGTCTTTAAATATTCCTGAAATTTTATCCTTCACCAACAGTATGCTTCCATATGACTGTTAAACCTATCCAACCATAATAGATAGACATTTAATAACATATATTCCTTTTTCATCATGAGACCTCTTGCCTTTCCAGCAAGTACAAAAATGGTGGCATTCTACAATTTGTCACTGTTGATTTGTTGCTTGAATTTGTATTCTTTGTAAATAAACAGTGTAGAACTATTTTTAATTTTTTTTTTCTGTATTTGGTAGGTTTCATTGGTTAGTTTAATAGCCAATGCTCTGGGCTATTCTGAACTTGGTGCCATTAAATCGCTACGGACATTAAGAGCTTTAAGACCTTTAAGAGCCTTGTCACGATTTGAAGGAATGAGGGTGAGATAAAATGAATGAGCCTGAACAAATGTATGCATATAAAAATTGATGTATTAAATGTTACACTCACGCTTTCTTCAAAGAACTCCATAAAGGGAAGGCATGCACAAATGTGTGGAAAAAGGCCTCTCAACGTGTCCTTACAAACAAGACCTATGTATACCCTACATTTGGAAATTAGACCTTGAGCTCATTAAATTTGCCTGCTCACTGCTGCATAGTTGTGCTTTCCCAGCCCCCTGACTCTTAAAATTTCCATTGATTTGTGGATCTAGAAAAATAAAGACATGACAAATTTTACAGTAGAGGGCTGAAGGTTTTTTCTGCAGTTTATGTGTGAAATTTTTTTACTTGGTTTCTGTAGCTAACTTCAATTCTCTGTTAGTTTGTCAGTGGTTCAAGATGGAACATGATTAGCTGGAAAACAAACCAAACCAGCAAAAGGTGAAAAAGCTGACAACAATGACACACTAGAAACTAAAGCTTCACTGTGTCTCCCTATCTACCTGTCTGGAGAAAAAAATTCCCACAGAAAATGCTGTAGTATTAGGGAAAAGTTTTTTGAACAGACACCTGAAATAAGGAAAGGTTTAGAAGTATAGAAGGGGAGAGATGGGAAATAATTTTCGCAGCTAGAGACTTTTTACTTCATATGAATGTAAAGGGAGCTAAAACCCTTCTGTTGAGGAGATTGTAATTTTCATATTCTGCCAATCTGACAAAAACAAATCAACCAGCCAAAAAAAACCCTCCTGGAAAAACCACATTATAGACTAGCAAATCATGCTACTTAATGAAAATATTGACACACAAAAAATTAACAAGAAAATGTTATTGAGAAATCTCCTTTAAATCTTTCACCTCAAAACACCCCAATGCCACAATACATATTTATAGTTCAGTCATAGTCTTCATTTGCCAAATAAATAATGCAGTTCCTGTCTGGGCAAGGCTGCTGATATCCTAGAGATGGCCACGCCTGCCAGTGTAGGGAAGTGTGTCCTTCACCATCACCATTATATTTTACTTGATCTCCAACCCAAACAACTCATTAAGTGCTATCTAATAAGCAAGCAAAACTTCTATTGATGTTAGTCTACTTTTGGTCAACTCAGTGGAATGAAAAATACCACTTCTTCAAAACCATACATAAAAAATTGCGGTAGTCTCTACTGATTTGCTAGGAAATTATTGTTTGAATATCTGCAGCTTTCTTTTAGTTGAATCACAATAACTAAAAGAAAACTTTTGTCCAAGCTTGGATTTCATCTGGTCTTTTTCTGCCACTTGCCCATACACAGTAGCTCAAGGGAATCAAATGCAACCAATTAAAAAGAAAAACAAGGATAAGTGTAAGAGCAACTACAGTGACCCAGGCAATTTACAGACCAAGACTTAGAGCAGGTGCTGTTAATGAAGATTAAATAAGACATCCTTAATTATGTTGCATTCTATATGGATGCTAAAATACACTGATGCCAATATATATATAATGTTTCTAAGAATAAAATCATTAGTAATGATAGTTTTACATGCAGACATTTTTATTCAGTCTTCCACATCATCATTGTTTGAGCTTTTTCTTGTTTATTTTCTATTTATAGATTTTAATTTATATTGCTGGAATTTAATATTTATTTCTCTCTTTTTCTCTAGAGCACACAAATTCTAAGAATCCATCTTGCTACTAACAGGTTTTATTTTGCTTTTTGATTTTTTTTCAGACTTTTACATTGTCTTTGTTTCCATCCCATTTTATTTCTTGCTTTTTGCAATCTCATTAGCATTTCATTAAACCTTAATTAAAATTTCCCCCACAAATTTTATTGTAATATTTGAACTGTCCATCCCATAATAATACTGTTCTGACACTTTTAAAGTATTATACAGTATTTTTAATTTTCTTTTCATAAGCTAAGTGGCTATTTTGTCTAATTTGTACACTAGGTGGTTGTAAATGCCCTTGTAGGAGCAATCCCGTCTATCATGAATGTATTGCTGGTATGTCTTATATTCTGGCTAATCTTCAGCATCATGGGAGTAAATCTTTTTGCTGGAAAATTCTATCACTGTGTCAACACCACAACTGGTGAGATGTTTGATATCAGTGATGTCAACAATTATACTCAGTGTGTGGAACTCATAAAAAGCAATCAAAGTGCTCGATGGAAGAATGTGAAAGTAAACTTTGACAATGTAGGAGCTGGATATCTTGCTCTACTTCAAGTAGTAAGTAAATGTCTATATTGTCTTTTTGGTCTTTTAAAGATATCTAGGAAAAATGGGAAAGTTAAGACTTAAGTAGAGGAATAATCTCTTCATAGAAATAATTTACAGCTCATCATTGTTTGTTGTAATTTTTTTTTTTAATTAGAGTAGAGAGATTTTCCTTTCCAAGACTAGGGAATACAGTCTCATGATGATGATGATAATAATAATGTAAAATGTGAAACTACAGAAAATAAAAGAACCACTTTAGTGGTTGTCCCTTCTATCTCTCAGAAGGTCAGTATCTCTAGCTGAGACAGAGATAGCTTTTAGTTAATTCCAAAATTAATTACCTAGGTTAAAATGTTTTGCCTGTAAAGGCAATGTGACTCTTATGTGCTGAGTGATAATTCTGAATGATGACTGATCTGGCTTCAGATCTCATTGCTACCACTGCCTCTGAAAATGTGTAAGGAAAACTGCTTCTCTTAAAGCTGTGTGTGAATGTCATCTGTGTTGCACATCCAGACAGTCTAGGTCTTCAATAACTACTTCACTCTCTCTCTTGGGGTTTTTTGGGTTTTTTTTGTTTGTTTTTTTTTGTTTGGTTTTTTGTTTGGGTTTTGCTTTTTTTATTTTTGGGGGTTTTTTTTCGTTTTTGTTCCGATTTTTCATAATTTTTCTTCTCAAATATTCCTTCCCCTAATCTAATCACAGAGATTAAGGGATCTTTGAGCACATCTTGTGTCACATCTTCATTTGATTGCCTCCATTAACATTTTCCCTCCACTCTTCTGTATTTATTGCTCTTACCTAACTCTGATCTTTTCCTAATATTGCTATGCAAAGCGCACCAATTGCCAACTGAGCCAGAAAGATTTGTGAAGCCTGGTTGTTTGAAGCATACCTTCTTAGTAATTAATATTGCACTGCAAGATTCAGGAGGATACAAATGCTTCCAGAGTGCAAGTTTTCTGCTGTGGAACCTGTACCAAAGTACCAAACCTACTTCCAGCAAGCACAGATGGAAATATATTCCTTGGGTTCCTATCCTGAAACTCCTCAGGAGTGAATGCTCTTTTTTCATCTCACACACCTTTTAGCTCTTTATTCTTTATTGGGAATAAGCTTGGAAACCCTGGCTAATGGTTGAACACTCACACTTTCAACTAGCATGTCACACTAACTTTGGTGTTCCTTAGAAAATGGACATCCTGCATCCATTAAAATCACCTTCTTAGAGCAATGATAGCAGATGTTTTTTACTCTTTTCTTGAAAAAACTCTCTATAGGAACTCAGCCAAATTTTTATAGACGTCAATTACGTCTCTTTCACAGCTGAGTTTTTGGTCTTCTGTAAAACAAATCTCTCAGGAACCAATGTATATTTTAACTTTGAACAGTCTATTCCTTTTCACTATGTGGGATTAAAACATTTCTAAAAATACCAGGTCAGTTTAGACACAGAAAAAAAAATTCAGATGCAAGTTGGTTTCTCTCCAGAAGTTATATTACTGATTCCATCAATTCATGTTGTAAACTTAACAAAATGTTAAGTTTTGGCTGTGGCCATGAGTGATTCTATTGGTTCCTACCTAAATATATCCAGCATTAATGTCTATCTAAATCTATCATTCTTCATCTGCATAGTAAACATCTGCAGCTCCAAACATACTGTTGATTTACTGAGATCTTCAGTGCCTTTGATATTATTTGAATAACTAAAAAGAAAATGGTCCAAAAAAATAGTTTTACTATGAAAAATATTTCTGATGCCTTTGTTGTCAAGCGTGGTTAAAAAATTTAGAAGTGATTTTATTAAAAGTGGAGATCCAGATAAATAAATAACCTAGTTATTGTAGAGATTATTGATTTTTATGGGGAAGATAAAAAACTGTTTTATTTCTAGGCTACTTTCAAAGGATGGATGGATATTATGTATGCTGCTGTTGATTCACGAGATGTAAGTGTAAATCATTCAAAGGTCATCTGTTAATTATTTTCTTATAAAGAATAAAAATTTTAAACAGCTACACACAAACTATAACAGTTACACACACAACAAAGAATTATAATCAGTATCAATACATATTTTTTGAATCTCAGAATTTTTACTGGAAATAATTAATTCCACTTCCTTCTGTTTAGCCAAAAATGCTAAATTAACTTAACTGGATTTTTTTTTAAGGATAATGTTAATGTAATAAAATTAAGAAGAGGTTTTTGACAAATCCTTTTGTTAATCATAAATATGAATTAATTTAAGATTATATGATGCAGTTATTAAATATAGAATATATTAATCAGGTTTTATAATTTCTAACTGTGCATTTCATTATTTCCTTAGGTTGAGCACCTGTGTTGTCTAGAAATTTAAGTGCAATTAGATTTTAAGGTTGAAGAATACCTGTTAAGCTTTCTGGGTATTAGAATTTTATTTTGACTACAAAACTAGTACTCTCTTTAACTTATACAAATAGTCATGTTCACGATATTGTCTCCCAGAGCTAAATATCCTGTTTCATTATCTCTAGCATTCCTACACTCAAGCTTATGTTGATGTAGAGGTGCAGATGCTGGGATATGGCATCCAGAAAAATCAAGACAATAATAAAATCTTCCTTTGAAACTTCCTCAATTTAATGGATTTCACAAAACATGTATTCACTAGAAATTTATTGAAAGCATCTGTTCCTAGTCGAATGTAAGAATGTTCATGCAAGACCAAAAGAGTTCCAGGGAGATTTAGGCAATAGTAAAATGTATTGATTCTGTTGCATGATAATATACTGAACACAATATAAAATATTTAGATTTCTGCTATTAAAATTTTAAGTATTAATGACTGTTCTGCATCCCACATTTCTTCTTTATTCTGTATGAGGAACTTTTTATATATGTACATACACAAACATATCTGTGGGAACATTTACTTTAAAATTCCATATGAGCAATAATTCTGTCAGCTTCCAGTTCTCCAAATATTGACTGGAATGGACAAGTTGGATCTTTTTAATAAATTAGTGCCATTCACAGACTTTCTATCTGAGATGGCATATACCTAATTCTATATTATAAATATTGCTTTTTACATCTAGTATTCTCATGGGTAATAAAGTTTTTTATATTTTTTGTAGGTAAAAGATCAACCTAAGTATGAGGACAACTTGTATATGTATCTCTATTTTGTCATTTTTATCATATTTGGATCATTTTTTACCTTGAACCTTTTCATTGGTGTTATTATAGACAACTTCAACCAACAAAAAAAGAAGATAAGTATTTAAAATATTTTCATATTTCTATGAATTACTAGGTATAATGAATTAATAAGTCATTTCTGTAAGGCTAATAAAAATCAAAAGTCATTTCAAGACTTTAAATAAAGTGTATTTTTTTAATAATAATATGTGCTAAAATCTGTTGATGTGATTCTGAACTTTGCATTTTTAGCATTTTGACAAGTGAAAAGTTAGTTCATAATAATTTGAAAATTGAATAAGTAGGTAAAATGAAGATGTGAAAAGTGAATATGAATTATTGGTTTGATTGCAATATTATTTGGCATGAAATAATTTCTTTTTCAATTGACTCTAAAGAATTAAGATAAATTGAGGTACATTAATTATAATTACCCTTACAAACTCTTGACACTTAATGAAGACACAATATGGCATTGTGTTCATACAATGAATAATGGATCTGCAAACTGATTAAACGGTAAATTAAAAGTCAAATAGACTTCATATGAATAGGCTTGTAGATAAAAGTAAAAATGTGTACATGAGGGCTTTTTTCCTAACACTTTTATGAGAAATGAGATTATTTTATTTAATTTCTTTGTTATTAATTATTAATATTAATACTATTAATAATAATAATTTTTATAATTGTTAATGTATTAACTTATTAGACAGAAATACATATCTAATTTCTTATAAGTAAGGGATAAGGGAATGATGGTTTTTTTCTGTATACTTTTGGCATACAAGTATTTTTAAAATATATTGATAATGCATACAGTTCAGTTTTAAAAACTTTAAAATATAAAAATACAAATACTCACATTTAAAATAGTTTTAAGCCTCACAGTTTTTAGTTTTATATTCCAGGGTCATTCTAAATTTTTTGCATGCTGTGAAAAAGCAGTTTTATATTATTTTCTTTTTTCCAATCACCAATTAAAAACCAGCAATACCAGAGAATCTCTGGTAAAAGAAAACTGTGAACTACAGAAATTTTTCCCTGCGCAAATATTCTTTAGCTTCCTAAAAGAATCATAAACATGTCTGGGGTTACTATCAATTTTGTGATGCTTCAGGCTGTGGTAGCCAATTTAGCAGACAGTGACGCTGACATTGTCCTTCCGTCTGACTTAGTGCAGATTCATCAATAAACACGATTTACTTATACTGGAAGTCAGTCAGTCAGTTGCACATCTGACTGGCAGTATTTGCATCTGCAAACAAAAGCTGATTTGAGTTCATCAACATTCCAGTGGTATTTTAATTTGCTGTGGCATGACATGAATTACTTTTCTTAATTTTACATCAAAGGTGGGGGGTTTTTTTTGCTGTTCAAACCCACAGATTAGATACTAATACACTCTCCTAGCACAACTTGTACCTCAAAGTTACGCCTCTCTTAGACCTATCTGTAACCTTAAAAAATTATAGAGAAGAGAGGACGCATGAGGCACTATTCACACTTGTATTCACTAAATATATCCTAACCAACAAGTTATTGAACAGCATCGGTATCGCAAGAATGCTTTTAGCCAATTCAGCAAAAACGAGCATGAAGACATTGCAAAAACTCAACTTTCAAGCTGACAAGACACCAGTAATGGGTTTTTCCTGTGTGTTAGAAATGTATATGAGCATCCACGCTATAAACACCTGGAAGAAAACCCTTCCTTTTTTATATAAATTAAATATAACTTAAATATTATAATAGAGAGACATACTGTAGTGAAATATTTCATGTGTGGACATGATACTAATTAATTTTGATATTATTTCTTTACTTTGGAGGTCAGGATATATTTATGACAGAAGAACAGAAGAAATATTACAATGCAATGAAAAAACTGGGATCCAAAAAGCCACAGAAACCTATACCGAGGCCAGTGGTATGAGTGATTTGATTTTCACACCCCTAATATTAAATACTCATTTGGGAATATGATCTTGTCCACAGGATAAGGTTATAGGCCTGGAAAGAAAGTATTTTTTCCATTTATTTTCTGGTAAAGGTATAAATTGTCCCATTTTGAATCTATCAGATTAGCTCATTCATACTCTGTTTAAAAACATACACACTGAAGTATGAACAAAATTATCTAATAATGTTAATATGACACATTTCAAAATTCCCTGCCTACGTCCTGGAAAACCACAATTCATTGGTTCATTTATTGGTTCTTGTTACCAGGGATAAACTTCATTTTCTGTTTTTTCTCCTCACAGAGAATTTGTAGGGAATGGGGATGCACTGGCCCTTGCTGCTGAAAATAGAAAAGGGCACTGGTAACCCAATGGGAAGGACAGATGCAGAAAATCTTACAGAATAAAATAATGTCCTAGGGAGTAAAGCACAGACTAGGATAAATTTGTCTCTAAGATAAGACACTACTCTTGTTATTTACTGAACTCCTACACTGTTTGAAAAAATAAAATACTTGTTGCACCTTATGCACCAGGTGGTTAAAAATAGACTTTCTAAGGAGAGACATATGGCAAAAAACATTGAGCTAAGCACTCAAGAAAAACTAGCATATTACAGTCATGGTGTATTTGAGACGTGTCTTCAGCAACCCAATGATCTCACCAAGCACAGTTAAGTTTAAGGAAGAATGACGGTTAGCATTCAAAAACAGTCTGAGAATAAAGATAAGATAGTTTCTATTCAGCTGGTACTCTTGTTGGCTATCAATTTACACCACCTATTTTACCCCAATAATATCAATTGTCATTTTATTACTCTTATTATTGCACTATTTCCTTTCTTGTCTCTTCAGCCAACAGTGGTGAACTTCTTGATTCACTCTAACAGGATGAGATATAAACCAGCATGTATTTGGCTTGTATTAATGCCTGTATTGTGAAAGAGTCTTGCTCTACACTCCTGAGTCCTGAAGGGAGTTGTTTTCTCATTTGGCATTTTAAAAGACAATTATTTTCACTGTATAAACTGTATTCTATCTTTGTGTTTGCAGAACAAATTCCAAGGCATGATCTTTGATTTTGTAACCAAACAAGTATTTGACATCAGCATCATGATACTTATCTGCCTTAACATGGTCACAATGATGGTAGAAACAGATGATCAGAGTAAAGAAATGGAAACAATTTTATCCCGGATTAACCTGGTGTTTATCGTACTTTTCACTGGAGAATTTGTCCTGAAATTGATTTCACTTCGCCACTACTACTTCACTGTAGGCTGGAATATTTTTGATTTTGTGGTTGTGATTCTCTCCATAGTAGGTAAGAGCAATTCCCTTTCAAGAAAGAACTGGTGGAAGAAATAGGAAACATTTGTTTCAAATATGTTGATACTGATTGTAGAATTTCCTTTTTCTGAGATGATTTTACGTGTTGATTCAGATCATACTAACTAGCATATAATATATGCAATGTTGCATGTAAGATTTTTATCTCTCCCATTAGATTCACTGTCATTTTCCACATCAAAAGACATAATGAAACTGTTTGGCACATTAGATTAATGTGTACAAATATAAAGAGGAATGTTTAGTGGTATGTGCAAACTAATCACAGATTCACTTTCAGTCCTAAAGCTGAAAATTATGTGAAATGGGTGAGTTTTTTTTACTTTTGCTAAGATTTGTCAGTAAAAAGCTAGTGACTGTCCAAGGCACAAATGAGTGACACATCTGAGAAAGACTGTGCTGATAAAACGAATATCTGTTAAAGAAATCTCTGACTTGCAGAAATTAAGCTAATATCGTAATTCATTAAAGATAGTGGTTATAGGCTCAGTTTCAATAATTAACTGTATCTTAGATATAAACATCCCTTTCCCAACCATTTTAAGAACTATTGAAAGCTTAGACAGGGCCTACTTCCCACAAGCAGTCTTTATTTTACATATTTACCTTCTCTAGGATAGCATTTCAACAGAAGGAAAGATGCTTTCACCTTATTAACAGCTTTCAGTAAAAATATAATAACTTGGATAATTTTTTGCTATAACATAGAATCCCTGTACTGATTATTTTGGCAAAAGCAATAATAAATATTTCTATAATTAATTAATTAATTAATTACTTTTTTTATTTTAATAATTCACGCTTTTTCCTAGGTATGTTCTTAGCTGAGATGATTGAGAAGTACTTCGTATCTCCCACATTATTCAGAGTCATCCGGCTTGCCAGAATCGGTCGAATCCTGCGCCTCATTAAAGGCGCTAAGGGAATCCGCACTCTGCTTTTTGCTTTGATGATGTCTCTTCCTGCTCTGTTCAACATTGGGCTGCTGCTTTTCCTGGTCATGTTCATCTATGCCATATTTGGCATGTCCAACTTTGCCTATGTCAAGAGGGAAGTTGGGATTGATGACATGTTCAACTTTGAAACGTTTGGCAACAGCATGATCTGCCTGTTTCAGATCACCACGTCCGCGGGCTGGGACGGTTTGCTCGCCCCAATCCTTAACAGTGGGGAGCCAGACTGTGACCCCCATAAAGATCATCCAGGGAGCTCTGTGAAAGGTGACTGTGGCAACCCTTCTGTTGGGATTTTCTTCTTTGTGAGTTACATTATCATTTCCTTCCTGGTAGTGGTGAACATGTACATTGCTGTGATTTTGGAGAACTTCAGTGTTGCTACTGAAGAAAGTGCTGAACCCTTGAGTGAGGATGACTTTGAGATGTTCTATGAGGTTTGGGAGAAGTTTGATCCCGATGCAACACAATTCATAGAATATAGTAAATTATCTGATTTTGCAGCTTCATTAGATCCACCTCTTCTCATAGCAAAACCAAACAAAGTCCAGCTTATTGCAATGGATCTGCCCATGGTGAGCGGTGACCGAATTCACTGCCTTGACATCTTGTTTGCTTTCACAAAGCGTGTGCTGGGGGAAAGTGGGGAGATGGATGCTCTCAGAATACAGATGGAAGATCGATTTATGGCAGCCAATCCTTCTAAAGTCTCCTATGAACCAATTACAACCACACTGAAACGAAAGCAGGAGGAGGTGTCTGCTGTCATCATTCAGCGTGCTTACAGACGTCACCTATTAAGGGTAAAAGTTAAACAGGTGTCTAGTATATATAATAGAAATAAAAACAAAGAAGGAGATGGACACATTATAAAAGAGATAATTATTGATAAACTAAAAGGGAACTCCACTCCAGAAAAAACAGATGAGAGTTCCTCTACAACTTCCCCACCCTCTTATGACAGTGTAACAAAGCCAGACAAAGAAAAATATGAAAAAGATAAAGCAGAAAAGAACTACAAAGGTAAAGACATCAGGGAAAATAAAAAATAATGATCTAAGAATTTTGTTAATGGGACAACTTGTTTACAGTCTTTGAGAATGAATCATCAACTGGACTCCTGCAGGAGATTTATGCCAAACTGACATTTTTAAACATATATATGTGTGTGTGTGTGTGCGCGCGCGTGTGTGTGCATATATATACATTATATATATACTTAAGGTCAGTGCCTATAACAAAACAGTGAACCTCCATCATCAGACTGTAACTCTGTTAATCAGGGTAAAAAACTTGACAAGAGGTTACTGTTTTCACTACAGCTGACACTGCTAAGAATAAGGAAAAGGTGGCTCCATGGAGAAGATGGAGCATGAAATGAGTGCGAAAGGAGACTTTACTTCCACAACATGTAGAACAGTAATTCTCTTCACTGTTTGTAATGCAACTGCCACATTTGTCATATTTTTACAAAAACTGTATTAGTGTATTTATCATTTTTTAATTCACAGGTTGTTTACTATTATATGTGACTATTTTTGTAACAGGTTTTATGTTGGGGAAAGAGGTATGAGGACCAGGAGTTCTACTCTCAGATTCTCTATAATGTACAGATAGGAGTGATTTGCATAGACATGCTGCACTTGTCAATCATGCATAAATAAAAATATGACGTTGCACAAAGCTGAAGATTTTAAGAACTTCCATGTTTCAGGTTTGCTCTTAAATGCGAAGTATTCTAACTACTTGTATGGCTGCATCCAGATTATGTGCATCCAGATTAATGTGCCTGGAGAGTCTCCTCTAATTTACAGGAATCTGCAATGACTTATTTTTATGTGAATGATTAAACATGAACAAGTTCTTGTTTATGTTAAAATATTTACAGCTCAAAAAATATTGTGCAGTTTCTGCACTGGAAAAATAGCTTCACCAAAATACATCTGGGAGTTCTTTTGTTTTGTTTTTAACAGCTCAATTTGTTTTTTTTTCCTGGGCTATTCTTTGGTTACTGTCTTATCTCATTATCTCCAACATCCAGACAATCCATAAAATACCCTTTTCCATGTAAATATTAACAATATACTGTTGTGCATATTTGATCATAGAATTAAATAGCTTTCCTGCATTGAATTGCATCAAATATGTACCACAGTATGGTTAATTTTCAAGAGCTCAACAGGACATGTTGTATTCTGTGTCATAGTTAGGAGAGTATCACTGATGCATGTCAATGCTTTTGCTGCTGTACCTTGCTCCTTCCACTGTCCACAGTCTCCACTATAGGATGCCATGTGTCAGTGATGAAGTGAATCAAGTTGTCCAACCAGACCTCATTATTTCAAGTCATTAAGCAATAGTTTGCAGCTATTTATGAGCTTTTTTAGTTTGGCATTTTAAATTTGAAGTGGCTGCTATATGGTGTAGAATCAGACTGTACAGGCCATATTGCAAACTGTTAAACCTGTTGACAATGTGGTTAGCATATATAAATAATGTAAAGAAATACCATTTGGCAACAGTTCTGTATATAAGAAAAGTGTCTTCAAGTTTAGATCACTATTTCTTATATTTCTTTCCTCATTCACTTGGCTTATTTTCTAACCACACTTAGAAACCAAACTGGCATCATCACACTATGAGAAAAAAAAGTGAGTATTTGTAGACTATCTTGTTTTAATAATATATTTGCATATATTCCAGTGTGAAGTAAATTGTGTAAATCTGGAACCCAGCTTGTTTCCAAATAGTTACAGGACATAGCAAGGAAAGCATTAGGGGAATGTGCGAATTTCTAGCAATATTTGCATCAGAAGTTCCAAGATAGTCTCATAGTTGATTAAATCCTTGCTATCTTGCAGTGTCTGTTTACATAGTCTACTCTTATTCTTTTTTGAATCACAGTGCACTAGGCTTGTACAAATAAAATATTTCCCAAGAGAAAATGGCACATTTGTATAATTGAGGACATCAGGACATTTTGTGTTTCATACACAAGCTAACATTAAATGTAGAATCTTTCTTTTACAAATGCTTTTGACTTGTAATGTGTTGGTGAAATGCATGCAGGAAATTGTTATTATCATAAACAACACAAACAATATTACATATGAGCCAAAAAATAAAGATTTCTTTTTTTAAAATTGTGTTTATTTTGCTTTGTCTCTGACCTTCTGTTGGTGAAAGCAAGATGAAAACTGACTTCGGTGCAAATAAGAATTGCTTTCTTTTTCCCCAGAGCTAAACACCTTATTCTTCACATTTTAACTTCTATGTAAAATAATTTTTTTAAAAAAATCTGAGAACTTTGCTCAAACTCCATTTCTACTTCTTTGTTATCAGCATATTGTCTGGGAATAAAACAAGATACCCACACAATTCTACCCATAAAGTGTCCTCTCAACCTTCAAAAGCCCTTCTCAGCCATAAAGGCACTGCTCAGTACTGCTATCAAAGTTGCCCATGTTTTATGAGTCTTAAACATGCAAGCAGACTTTCCAATGAAAGTCTGCTTTCCAATGACAGTTTGCTCATTGCAAACAGATAAAAATTGGTTTTAGTTGCATAGTGATTCTTTTTATTCAGGTAATTCTCAAAATTAATAAATACCATCTCATCTGATCTCACAAGTAAGGGATAACAATGTCACTCAGCTGTGACAAGTAGTGCTTATAATCAACGTATCTTGATACTTGTAACACTTGTTGATACTTGTAACACAGTTTGAGTTAATATGGATGTCATTAAGCTGTTCAAGGACAGAAAGATTTAGGACATTGAAACACATCATTATATATTATATTATATATATTCTATTCTATTCTATTCTATTCTATTCTATTCTATTCTATTCTATTCTATTCTATTCTATTCTATTCTATTCTAATATTTATTTTATTTATTTTATTATATTTATTTTATTATATTATTATTTCATTATATTAATTATTGACTTTAAAATATATTATTATATTTCAAAATTAACAGTAAGTAGAATATTCCTGAAGTTTTCTCACTGGCATGTTTTCAGTGTTCCTTATTCTGTGGATATTATGCCATATTAACCATATTTTGGCTAAATATTAAATTGCTCCTATAACCATGAGATAACTGATGGAACATTGTAACACTACAGCCTATCAAAATCTCTAACACACTGAGCATCAGCAGTCACTGCAGCTGTCTCTGAGTTGGACTTCCATGCAATAAGGAGCCATATTTCACTGGTTAACAGAAAATGCTGATTTGAAAGGGACCCACAAGGATCATTATGTCCAACTCCTGCCTGAGAGCATTGTTCAAATCTTCTTGAACTCTGTCAGGTTTGGTGCTGTGACCACTTCCCTTGTGAGCCTATTCCAGTGCCCAACCACCCTCTGAGTGAAGAACCTTTTTCTAACATCCAACCTAAACCTCCCCTGACACAACTTCAGGCCATTCCCTTGGGTCTGTAACTGGTCACCACAGAGAAGAGATCAGTGCTGCCCCTCCTCTTCCCCTCACAAAGAAGTTCTAACTGCAATGTGGTCTCCCCTCAGTCTCCTCCAGCTTTAACCAAGTGCCCTCAGCCAGGCCCCATACAGCTTCTCCTCAAGGTCCTTCACCATCTTCATTGCCCCACTTTGGACACTTTCCAATGGCTTCAGATCAGTCTTATATTGCAGTGACCAAAGCTGCACTAATATTCAAGGTGAGGCTGCCCCACTGCAGCAGAGCAGAGCAGGGCAATCTCTCCCTTGCTCAGCTGACAATGCTGTGCCTGATGCCTCCCAAACATGTCTGTCTCTCTTGGCTACCAGGGCACTGATGACTCGCCAGTGACCAGGACCCCCAGGTCCCTCTCTGTGGCACTGCTCTCCAGCACCCCATTCCCCAGTTTATCCATTCATCCAGGCTTGCCCAATCCCAGGTGCAGAATCTGGCATTTTCCCTTGCTGAATTTTATGTGGTTGGCGATTGCCCAGGCCTCTAATTTGTTGAGATTTCTCTGCAGGGCCTTCCTGCCTTCAAGGGAGTCAAGAGGCCCTCCCAGATTTGTATCATCTGTGAACTTGCTTAATACCCCTTCCAGTCCTGTATCCTGTATCCAAGTCCTTTACAAAGATGTTGAAGAGAACAGGGCCTAAGATGGAGCCCTATGGAACCCCACTAGTGACAGATCACTAACCTTATGTCATCCCATTCATTACAACACTTTGCACCCAACGTGAGCCAGTTGCTCGCTCATCACATGGTGTGCTTGTCCAGCTGTGTGCTTACATGAATGGCTTCCCCTACATCAGAAAAATGCCTGACTAAGAATTGTTTAGCCTTCTCATACCCTTAGATCCTGAAGATGGTCTCTGGCCCTCTTGGAATACAGGGTTAAAGCTCAAGAAATGGCCTTCCCTAGCTGTCTGGCCATACTTACAAGCACCTGACCTGCAGGCCTAAATGAGAGACTCCTCTAGCTTGTGCTAATGTCAATATGTACATCCTTGAAGTCAAAGTTGCATATATTATTTATTCCACTGCTCCTCTGACTAACTCATCTAACCTTATAAATGATTCAATTTCTTCCAGAGACTTTTGGAGCTCTTCTGCTTCTTCGGTTCCTGACTTTCTTCCAGAGACTTTTGGAGCTCTTCTGCTTCTTCGGTTCCTGACTTCAGTCTAACAATTTCATTTTACTCTTGTCTTTTCATATTACCTGTTCAAACCAACACCTAGTTGCAAAATTTGCAGAACTTTTTCTATGTGAACAGGACAGCACATGTTCTGATGAGGAATGAAGGCTCATCATTCATTTTACATGTTCTGATGAGGAATGAAGGCTCATCATTCATTTTCAGGAACATGGAGTCTTTTACAGTACTCTGAAAAAGTGGGGTTTTTATGCATCCATCTTTTTTATTGCATCCATCTTCACTACCAAGCACTGTATGTGCAAAACCACACGCTTTTGGGGTGAACTAGCAGAAATGGCTGAGGGTCTTGCAACCCTCTTGAACCCTCTTAGTTCAACCTGGTCTGCAAATAGGATCACTTTGAGGGCACATATGTCCTTCTAATTACCCTTTGCTGCTTCTGTGAACAACTTCTTCCCTCCTACCTATTCCTTTTCTTACAGAAATCAGTTGAATTTGTATAATTTAAACCTCACATTACTCCACTCTCATCCTTCCAATGCATTTGAATGGAAAAGGCACTTGGAAGAACTCTCCACATGCTACTAGGCAAGTCAGTAGTGATGGCTACTTCAGTCAAGCACAATTCTATATTACTACCATATTGTGCTGGTAGTCCTTCCCCACTGTAAGTCCTCCATTGTTTCCAGTCAGCAAAAGATGGTTCCTTATTTTATTAGCTCCTAAAATCCTCACTGTATGACTATACTGATCCACATCCAGGTGAATTTTCAACATGTCAAACCACAGACAAAATACCTTCCCCTCTGTATTAAACTTCTTATCTGACACATATTGCCTAAAAGAGAGCATTAGTAATGCTGACAGTAGAGCTAACTCACTCTCCTAGTATAAGTTCATTACTTGGTACTTTTCCTTAATGAGTTTTCAGATGAAAAAATTTCCACATGGATGCTCAGAAAGGAGACATATTCCTGCTCAGTACATTACAAATTAATTCATAGGTCAGCACAGCTTAATGCTGTTCCCAAGCAAGTGTTCCCAGAAGTCCCAGTGCCTCACATGAGCTAATGCAGCGGTACTACCATGTGCACAGTCATAAAAGAGTAACGAGCTTGCAGAATTAACTGGAGCTAATTCAGCACTGAAGTAATTTTAACAAAGAAGAAAAGTCCAGTGTGTGGTGGAAAAAACCCCCAACTGTTTCCTCCAAGAAGCCAACTGGCCACAATAAAGACAAGCAGGACTGACATAACGGGAAGTTAGGATCCTGAGTAGTCAAAGGTATTTACTGTGAAATTCATTAACGCATTAAAGGAAGTGGTGAATACTCAGCACTTCTTAGTCCATTATAAATTGCATACTGTATTTAATTGAAAAAAAAAAATTAAATCTTTTGGAAGGTTAATCTGAATTAAAAAATAAGGAAAGTCCTTGCCCAGAGGGTTCATCATTAGTATATGACATGATACATTATTATTATTGCTACATTATATGTCACAATTGTGTGAAGATATTTACATTTCCAAGCTTAACTCTGTTGAAGAGCCATTTGTTGTGATTTTTATGTTCATCTCTTTAGTTCTTCATCTAGATACGTAAAATGGAAAAAAACACAAAGAAATCTGAGCAGGAAAGATTACTGGACTAACAACAAAAACCTCACACTTAAAATAAGTTTGTATGTTTTCTTATTTTTTGCCAGTTTGGAGAATGCTTGGCTAGAAAAAAGAGAAGCCTTTGAAAAGACAGATAATACCATGAGAGTGAAGCTCAAAACCACAGAAATTCTTAATTGTAAGTAGACAAAGAGCATAGAAAGCAGAGTTCATTAGTCATATGTCCAAATTACTGAGCTTGTTACAAGGGATGTTTTCTAAAAGATCATGATTAATTCATATAAAATTTAATAATAAGACAAGAAAAG